GGTGCTTGGCCTTGTTCAATAGACATGGTTAGCAATTATTTACTCTTCACGCAACGGTACTCGTACCCAACACCCAACATACCGTCGGTTTGGTATCGTTTCGACGATAGAATCCAATTAGGGTTACGTCACAAGTCGATCGTTGTGTCAGAAACCGAAATGCTAACCATGTCTTGAAAATTTAAACTTCACTTCTCAACAGTTGAGAAGTGAAGTTTAAATATGTAAGTGGCTGCGTTGGAGTTTGCGTGTCTTGAAAACACACAAAAAACGGCACAGGCCGACGGTCGAAGTATAATAGTTTAGCGTGAACGGTAACATGCTATTTTGAACCATGTCTATTGTCTCATGCGGATCTACATTTGCACTGTGCTGTATACAATGCCATGCAGATCTACATCATACATGTACAGTACATGACTGACATGATTGTGTCATTTGAGATACCGCCACTATTTGCATTAAAAAAGCAATCACTTGACGACTTGTCAGTCGAGAATACATACTCATCCAACAATAATGTAACCTCGATCCTCGATCTACATGTACATGTACATGTACATGTAGATCGAGGATCGAGGTGACACTTATTGTTGGATGAGTATGTATTCTCGACTGACAAGTCGTCAAGTGATTGCTTTCAACGCAACTAGTAGAGAATGAAGTTGAAGACAACACTGCAGTAACAAATGGCCATGCAACTTTTGTTATTGTTGACGGTCATTCTGATCTGCACGTACAATGTATTATTATTACTAGTATTATTATTATTTTTTGTTTTACATCGGAAGCTCAACAGTGCAGCTGCACAAATATGAAGAGGCCGATGGGACCAAAAAAAATATATAAAAAAATAAATAAATAAACAATGTATAATATACATCAGTGTAAATGTTCATACATCAGTGTAAATGTTCAAATGTTTAGCAAAAAAAAAGGGGATGAGTGGTGAACATAAAGAGAAAAGAAGAAAAACGTACGTGTCGGGCGGTCGTCGCTAGTACCGATAGTCCGATACCCCTGAAAAATAATATTAAAAACGTGGTGGCGAAATGCATTTTTTCTTCATAACAGGCATAATATTCGAAGGCCTCATCAGCACAGCTACATGTATGACTCCTATTAGCTCTTAAAAAGACAACTGGTTGCTCTAGCGCCAGAGTGCTCAAACTACGAAAGGTAGCGAGTGATGCGTTATGCAGCAGCACTGAAGCAGCCTACCGAGAGTTCTCAACAAGACAAAATGTCGATGAGCGAGAGATACCCAATGCTCTAGACAGCAAGCTGTTTCGGCCACACATGTAAATGCCTCATCTGCCAGCCAGTGTACGTTCCTGCAAAGCCGTGGCCGATTTCGCAGCAGCCGTGTACCCGTACACTCTCAGGCCATAAACGTTTTTAAGAAACTGTGATATGCACACACACACACACACACACACACACACACACACACACACACACACGAACGCACGCACACACACACACAGACACACACACACACACACACACACACACACACACACACACACACACACACACACACAGACACACACACACACACACACACACACACACACACACACACACACACACACATACAAGGACAGTAAGAACGGTCTTTTCCTGCTAGCTCTGTTTGTCCAGTACATGAGATACAACGTCTTTCTTGTTGTTTTTCCTTCTATATGTACATGTAGCTGCTCGCAGCATGGTAAACGACAGTATCGTGGCCTTTTCAGATTTTCATTGTACCTATTAATTTTGTAGTACCCCCCGGGATCAGTATTTCCACTTGAAATAATATTCACCAAAATGCCTCATTCTTAGCATTCTTTATTCGCTTCCATGTATTATAAATTGGGCTTATTGCCCGTTTGGTATTGCGAATTCAAATAAAAACAACAACAACAACAACATCATCAGCACAGCTACGAGCTCAAACTACGAAAGGTAGCGAGCGATTCGTAATAATTACATGTACATGTATGTAGGGTCTTATCTAGCCGGCCAGGTGGTCGCCATCCCCGATGATCCGCTAACACCCCCCCTGTATACCCGCGACCCATGATGGCATGAATCGCATAATTATTATGTAGCTCCAACACTTCTACGAAGCGCAAACCAACAACCTTCCACCTACTATTACACCTACTATTATAAATGTACTAGGAAGGCTCAGGTGCGGAAAGTAAAAGGGGGGGGGGGGGGGGCTCAGGAGTCAGGAGCGCACCACGAAGACACAGGCCCACAGGAATGACACTGCTACACTCTACAGTCGACTAGTCATACAAATGAGAGTCCTCCCGCTCGGCAGAGTGCTCAATATTCGTTCTTCGTCGAGCTTACACACGGCACAGAGCACCAAGCATCATTCGTTGTAACTACTTCGAAGTACATTTTCATGCCCATACTACTAGGGCCATAGGCAATCATCAGACAACAAAGGACTACAGGCGGTTGTAATTGTGACGATTTGGGAATGCAGTAAAAAGGAAGGACTACAGTAGTACAGGTCAGTCATACAAAAAAATCAATGCCAGATCAAGTGAGTAGTGCGCAGTGGACTGCCACGGGCACAGTGCCAGCTTGTTCGTCTCACACTCTCACACGTACACCCACAGTCTCAGCAGGAGTCGCTGGCCTCGCATAATGATACTATTGTACTTTGTAGTATTGATAGCAAGCCTGGCGCCGGCGATACCGATTCAGCTGCTGCAGATCTAGATGGATCTAGATTAGCTGTCTTCTGGTCTTTAGCGGGGAAGTCCAGGTACTTACCCTCGAGTTGTAGTCACATCCTCTGGCTAGTAATAATAGTAAAGTAGTATGGCCTATGATCATGACAGTCATGATGATGGACTAGTAGACCCAGGTGCTCGAAGTCCGTACATGGTATCCTAAGTTCGTACGCCCATAATTTCATGTTCTGTTATTGTATTCGACTCAAATATTTTATGGAGGGGACAGTGTGGTATGTTCTCCTCGCGTACCAATTTTCAGGGATCTACGATAAGCAGAAGTCCCATACCACGCGAGTGGGTTTTCGAGTGTCCATACGAAATACAAATTGGGTTACATTTCATGCAAAAATCAACTTTGCCAAGACCGATTTCGAACGGACACAGCGTCAAACAGACCTTCACTCAATCATCAAGAGCCAGCTTAGAGCTGACAATGGCCAGAGGAGAAGAATTTACAGAGAACCACCAATCCTTGCAGAAAGGTTGACACTCCTGGCATCTCCACCACTGTTTTCCCGCGGTTTTCACAGCGCAGCTGCTTCTTCTCTGAGCCGACTAAAAACAGCTTGCATTTCGGCAACAAACTACGCTTTTGCAAGAAATACTGGTGGAGGCACATGCCAAACATATCCCTTCGGTGCTTTCGTCGTAACCGAGGGATTGCAAGTTAGCAATTAGCGGAAATATGCGTGTATTTCGAGTCACCTCTGATCAGTACGGACTTAGAGTACCCTCTGCGACACCAAAATTTGATATGAAAAATCAGCGAACTCCAGAGAAACAGATCGGATCGAAAGATGGCCTGGTTCAATCGAGCCTGGCCTCAGAACAAACTTGGACAAGATACCTTCCATCCACGAGCAGGATTCTGGCAAGTGATCATTGCTAGTGTGAGTTTCAGCTCGGCAAACAAACACTGTAAAAGTGTACGGACTTCGAGCACCTGGGTCTACTAGTAGTAGTAGTAGAGTAAGTAGGGTACAGCGCAGTGACACAGTCACTGACAGCAGTCAGCAGTCAAATCACTCAAGTCTCAACACTAGTTGGACTTGCTTGTTGTACCCATACCATAATAATAATTACTGTCATGAGTCGTTTTACATGACTACGTACTGATTCAGTGATTGTGCAAATACTTGAAATAGATCATTGTAGAGATGCAAAAAAAAAAATCACGGTCGCGTGACTCAGACTCGGTCTCTATTATAAATATAATTATTATAATTATGATTATAGAGGCCAGTTTTCCTCATCCGGGCCATACATGTAGGAACGCCACCACTCTTCAAGGATCAAGGCGCAGATGCAGCTCCTAAAGCGGTGGGAGATGCAAGGCTAGTAATGTAGTATTTTATTTTGTGTCAAACAATGGTCAAAAGGCTGGTATTTATGGTGCATGGCATCACCACACGTACGTAGGGCAACAGCTAATGTGAAAAAGCAAAAAAAACTTTAAAAAGCAGCCACTCGACGTATAACGCGTACTCATGCAGCTAGCTGGAAAGTGGAATGCATTATAATTATTATTATTATTTGCACGGTAGGTCTGCTGACTGCTATGCTGGCCACCACTGCACCAGGTAAGGTCGACCCGGTAAATATAAAGCTCAAGCCTCAAGACAAAAGACCCAAAAAACGTGACATTCAGTCATGTGGCTGCAATGCAATACATACGTATGTACGTACATGTAGATTCTACATGATTGTAGCAATTTAGTTACTTGGAAGTAGAATGAGATCAGATTCAGAATATAATTACAACTAATTGCTTGAAGGATTCTTGCGATCAAACCTACAGTCTACACGGACATGTTTACCTTGAACCAAGTAGACAGACAACAGGTGGTCGCCTACATGATTGCACTTTATTATAGTACTTGCGTTGACTTTGTGTCTATAATTCTTCCGCCCGTGTCATCGACTGAGCAGAAGCTTTAGCTGACTCATAGTGACTGCCATCAATCATTCAATGAGCGATCGTGTAGTAACTAGTATAGTGCTAGAATACACGCTTCTATTGAAATACATTGTGCACATACCAGTAATAGTCATGATGGAGTATAAAAATGCGCTCGATAGGCATTTTCCAGCAGAAAGTGACATGACACGATGTGGTAGATCTGCATGGATTGGTGGCATTTTCATCATCATTCTTGGACAGTGCTAGTAGTAGTACTAGTACTAGTATAGTAGTAGTGTTACGTAGATCTACACCAGACAGGTAGCTAGGAAGAAGTAGCTCGCTGGCAGCTAGCTCAGTTGATGTTGACAGCGGATCGGAGGACTTGTCTTTCTCGCGTGTCCTAATTATTTTGTTGTTTTGGCTTTCGAAAGTGGATACTAGTGTGCATCGCGAGCGTTACTGTAGTACTGAGAATCATTGAAAGGCAGCTCAGATCTTCTGAAAAACAACCAACGCCTTCTTGTTCCTGAGCCCTAGATCTACGGAGCTAATGATTTACGTGAGCCGCTGTACTCATGGTGCTCAAACCTGTGCTGAAACGGTGTCGTACTTAGTCTTTTCATGCACTATTTACAATAGTATTACTAAAAAGTGTTCATGCGTTGACAGAAGTACAACGCTATTTCTGCCGCTACTGCTGCACTCTATTCAGATCAGTACTATCCCGCTGTGCATGTATGTACCCGAACGCGGTCATGGACGTTCGGTAATGCCAATGATGAAATTTGAAATCCTTCCTTTGCAGTGCGTGGAAGTGTGGAAACTCGATAAAAAGAAAGCAGTTTCCTGACTTCAGCTGACGAGTACCGTTGTCGGTGGTCCCGTGGGTTCAACCGCCCGCAGCGCTGCAGCGGTTGGTGGGATCACTCTATCGGCCATGATACGCTATCACGACATTCTTGCGCTACAGTCACAGAAGGAGAGGCTGCAGGCGTATCTTCATGCCGATGTCTTGCTCATCTTCGATCATCTCGTCCATGCCTGGGTGTTCCAAGGAACTGCCGAGTATGTAGCCATCAAGCAGCATCTGTCACAGTACGATCAGCTGACGGAACTTCTCCGGTTATTGATCGAGCACGAACACGACAGCAGCAGCCATACTGATAGTCAGGCGGATGACAGAAATGTTTTCAAAATCCTCTGCAACGTCCTGCGTATACTCCAGCATCACAGCATTGCTGATCAGCTGGAGATCAGTTCTCGCAGATATCGTCGAGATGGATCACCAGAGCAGGCCAGTCAGTGTGAGCTAGCCAAACGTCGCATGACATACACTGAGGCAATATGCTGGGCACATGACCAGGTTCAGAGAGTCAGTCAACAGAATGGTGGTGACCCCAGACAGCAGAATGGTGGTGGATCCAGACAGCAGAATGGCCATGGGTACAGCAATCAGCATTACCATATGGATAGCAGTGGTGGTGGTGATCCAGTTGAAGGATTTCGCAGTCACCTGCAGAAAAGGTGTGCGGTGGAGTCTCGCCGTACAAACATGGCCCAAGCGAAGGAGAATGCTGGTGACACGTATATCTCAATGATGGTTATGAGTCAACGCGAGGCTTTACGACTAGCGGCACGGAGAGGCAAGCGTAAAGCTGGCCGGAGTGCAGCGTCAGTGTTTCTTGCTGATAACATGGATGCCACTAACACTGATAGTTTTGAACTGCGTGATCCCGTGCAGCTGCTATTGAAACGTGACCCGACATCACACTTAGAACAAAGTCAGTGTAATGGTCAGAGTAATGTCTTGGATAGCAAAGACACAGCGGTAGCGGCACCCAAGGAACCAATCCAGTTACTGAAAAGCTGCATGTTAATGTCGGCAGCAGGGAAAGGCAAGACTATGGCCTGCCGTCGTGTCATGGCCGATTATGCAAACACAAAGACAAGTAGCATACTTCGATCTCAGTTTGACTTTGTCATCCCAATCTCCTGCAGAGACACAGAACGTGTTAGCACCGACTGCTGGTCAAAGTTCCTAGGATTGGATCACTCTGCACTCCACTTAACTACTACAGAGCGAGAAGAGGTTCTGCGATATTTATCAGCACATTCTGATCGTGTTCTGATACTGCTGGATGGCGTCGACGAAGGTGGCAAGGCCGCATTCCGCAGCACATCAGCTGCCCACCACTTCATGGCTGAGACAAACGAGAATCTACTTGTGAATGCCTCTGTGATCATCACAAGTCGTCCATGTGAGAAAGCAACAGATCTCGTAGCACAGTGCATGGTGCACTACCGACTAACTGGTTTCACTGATACTCAGCTGAAAGATTTCTGCTGTCAGCAACTACAGTTGGAGATGGGTGAGAGGTGTATAGCTCAGCTATCTCAACCGTCTTGCAAGCATCTCAAACAAGCAGTGCAAAGCACTCCTCTTCTGGCTGCTCTACTCTGCCAGCAGTTTGCAGTTAGTGAATCGGTTCCACCGTGCACATCAGCATTCTACATACAGTTTGTGTGTTCTGCCATCACGGAGTATGAGAAAAAGCACAAGAAACAGTTCAGTAAAGTTAAACTCCCACAGCAGCATGTTGCCACCAAGGGTGTATGCACTGCTGAGGTGGTAGGTGATGACAGTTTGGAGGAGTACACTGTGCAGGAAGTCATTAGAAACAATCTCGACCAGTATGTAGAGCAAGGCGGCACCCATACGTCTGCATGCAATGATGGTGCAGAGTTGATCCGAGCTCTATGTCATCTCTACAATGCGTCACTGGATAGTCTGCTCCAAGGTCATGCATGGATTGCTGCCTCGGACATGGCATCGCACGACGTTGCAATTTGCAAGCAACTTGGATTCCTGGTCTCAATGGATAGCCATGAGAATGTACCGTGGGATTCACCGAGAGATGAACGCCTAGCTCTCCTACATCTTACATTACAGGAATTCTTTGCTGCGCGATGGTGCGGTATGTCCAGTGATGTCATCAAGACTCTATCACATTGTGTGCATGAGGTCGGTGTGGGTGAGGAGACGCGTCCATTTTGGCGGTTCATCTGTGGCTCCATTGACAAGCAGTTCCTACCCGCTTTTTTTGAGATGATGATGAAGGAATCGCCGGCTAGCACGGGTATTCAACATCGACAGTTCTACCTATTCCTGTTGACATGCCTGTTAGAGAGTAGCCTGTCATCACCGTCTTCTTCTCGCCATTCTCTACCTGTGCAGTCAGAGTGTGAGTGTCTTGCAAGAGCTGCAGAGGTGTTGCTGAATGATTGTGGAGAACTCAATGTACACGGAGTGCATCTGACTGACCTGGATGTGGCTGCCTTGTGCAATCTCCTGCAGCTGCTGAGTGAGATTCCCGTACTGAACACCAGCAACTGCAACCTATCTGTCGACAACATCACAGATCTTGCACCGCTGTTCGTGAAATGCTCTTACGTGAACTTGCAAGGGAATGACTTGAGTGGCAAGCCGCTGTCAGACATTGCGTCAAGTCTTCTACAGTCCAGCAGTGATGTTTGCAGAGTGCACACTATCAATCTTGGAGATGCATGCCTAGTGGAGAGAGATGCACCTGTTTTGGCTAAGCTGTTCCAGTTGCCTGGGCTTCACACCGTCTATGTGAATGGTAATCGCCTGGGCAATGGCGGTGTCGCCCTTCTGGTCAGAAACATGGCCGCCGGGAATTGCAACATCTCTACGTTCACTGCAGTCGAGTGCGGACTCGTTGGTGGCTGCGGTCGACACATCGGATCTCTGCTCCGTGCCTTGCCAAACCTGACAACCCTGAAGCTGCACTGCAATCACTTGGAGGACAGCGACGCCAAGCATGTCCTTTCCGCTCTGCAACATCACATATACGTACAGGAACTCGATCTATCAAACAATGTACTTACCACTGATGTACGGTGCGGGATTGTGGAGTTTCTGGCCTCCAGGCGAAGGCGTCTCACGACTCAAAACTCGCTGAGTACGGATGAGCACCCGTTGATGATGCCACCGCGTTGCAGTCTAAACCTGACCGGTAACGATGTGGATGTGTCATTGCTGGAGTCAGTGCGTGCGTCCGGTGTGTGCGGTGATGATGTCGTCTTCATTGCCGATCAGTACGTCACCCGCTGTGATGTGCGCCAACGCACCATCAAGGATATGGTGGCCGAGCACGGCGGGTTCCTGTACGGTCAGGCATCCGATGGGACAATGGCATCACTCGGCGAGTATGTCGCAACGGACACCAGCACGGAGGCGCTGTATCTCTTCAGCAGCAAAATCTCCGATGCGGGGATTGTCGAGCTGGCTAGAAAGGGACTGCGCTTCAACAGGACACTGCGCAAGCTCAGCCTACACGACAACCGGATTACGCTAAGCGGGTTTGCTGCCGTGGTCGACGCAATGCGCCACTCGCCTCTCGAATGCCTGCTGCTCACCCTCAACCCTCTGTTCCACGGCGGTGGCATCACCGACATTGACGACTATCTCACGCTGATGTCGGCGCTGGCGGAGTGTGGACACCTGCGCTGCTTAGCACTGAGCCACGCTGGCATTACTGATCATGTAGCAACAGCACTGCTAGCAGCACTGAGCGGACATCCTTCACTTGAAATATTGCTGATGGATGGCAACAATTTGTCCGAGAGTACCATGAAGAAGCTGGTGGAAATGAAAGAGACTACGCCTGCGCTGAAGCTTGTCTCGCTCATCAACAACAAGATCTCCAGGGCCGGCGTGCAGCTGCTGGTGAATTCCCCGGACGTCATGTCCATGGATCGCGTGTGGATTGGCGGCAACCCGTGCTGCGATGACGTGAAGGTCAGCCAGCCACTGACCTACAGCCGGGAGTGGCTAAGCGAGGAGTTCTTCTCGAACTTTGTGAGCTGAATTACATGGCTTGTGTTGGTTGACGAACACGAGTGTGTCTTCTCATTCAACTCCGAGTTTAAAGTGTGCAGAGGGGCTGCAACAATCCACAGATATTCCTGTTGAGGGACATAGCAAACTGCTACTTCTGAAGCATGTTGACCACTGCATGCATCAAACATCTAGTGGCCATGCACTGGTGTGGGATTGCAATAGTTGTGCCACGGATACACTGTTCCAGCCCAGGCTTGACGTTCACCGGGATGCGGGCCACGCCAGGATGCAGCCGCAACGAATACATCGCATACTTTAGTACTGCGGCCTTGTCCACACCCGCTCACTGAACGGCTACTGCACTCAGATGGCGAAGTGTCTCGTCCAGCAAGCCCAGTGCCTCGGTAGAGCAAGTACAAGCAGCGTGACCACCAACCCAGTCCAGCCGTGTACTACACTGTGTCAGGAGAAGAATTCATCAAGCACAAGCTGGGCATAGCGGTGAGTTAAACTAAAATGGCCAGAGAAGTTTAGTGTAAAAAGGTGCGACTTAGGCCGAGTAAAAAAAATTACTAGATGATCGTCCTTTTTTTTGGAAAAATCGGGGAGGGCGGGAGGATTTTATTTTTATTTTTTTACTTTTTACCCTCTCATGCACACAGTGTACACAACAACATCAAGGTTTTTTTTCTCTTTTTTTCTTTTTTTTCTTTTTTTCTTTTTCTTTCTTCAGCAGATCGATACTGACGTTGTGATATACTAGTAGTATGTGGTCCATATAGTAAAGAAAGTATTAAACAAAGCGTGCACATGTTTCCTGCATCCGCGATCGGTAAAAAACCAACGATTTCGGCAAAAACTCACGATTTAAAAAATAAAATATTTCTTGGGGCGCTGACAAAAACTGGGGCGGACGGGGACGATCATCTAGCTTTTTTTTTTACTTGGCCTTATATTCAGGGGAAATACGGTACATGCAATGCTGTCAGATTCGAGTTTGACAATACTTCAGTATGTTCAATCTTGCATGTCACAGTTGTTTTCTGTCCCAGCCAATATCACCCATTACATTTGCATTGATGATGGCAGTAACTATTGTACTGAACATGGCTGCACCTAATGATGCTAATACTGTACAGGCAGAACTTTTCGTCGGTCAGTAATTTCGTCCAACTCCAAAGAATTGGAGTTAGTCTCCAAAGAATTGGAGTTAGTCCGGTTGAAAATTTCGTCCATGGACCATAAGAGTGTATTGAAAAGCTGGACAAATGGACATTCGTTTGTCCGGCATTTAATTTAATCCAAAAACTACTTGGACGAAAAAGACGAAAATAATTTCCAGACGAATATTTCTGCTTATCCAGTAGTAGCAATATACCCATGCTACTTGCGGGAATAGACTCAGCCCCGGCCCCAATAGAGTGGTTTCATACCTTTGTCATGTGACTAAATTTGTGTAGAAAAGTGATCATTGCAAGTGGACAGTGGAATCAACATTGCCAACGTCATGTGACCTATGTATGCGGGCCGGCGGGGGTCGAGCAGAGTTGGAACCAACATGGCTGTCCCATATGGTCATGTGACAGGTGTGAGACGACTCTGTAGGACAAGGCTTCATCACCCGTGCCTGTGGTACTGTTGTCTGCAGTGCTCCAAAGTGTCATTTAGACATACATGCTGTAGATTGACCAGTGGAGTGTAACGTTATAGCAGGCCAAGATTCCCACCATAACATATAATTTGCCTGATCCCAGAGAGGACGTAGGAGCGATGTGCGCCCCATGATTATAAACGTAATGTCACAGACTTGGCCATTTGATAGTACTGCAGTTGTCAATACTAAACCGGAATTATTCTCCCTATGCTGGTGTGTTGCAAGTGGAGCTAGTGTAGTGGCTATTGCTTCTGCTTTCAAAACCATTGCATGATGTGTGTTATTTCATTGTGTTATATGATCGCGTGCCCAGGGTCCAGACATGGAGGAGGCTGTGTACGACCTATAGGCCAAGCATACCTGACAGCACAGCAATCCTATAGGCCAAGCATACCTGACAGCTCAGCAATGTACGTGACTGTACATGTACTACAAGTGCACAGTGACTATCAGCCGGTGCCAAGCGGTAGCCGTGCAGCGCTAGCTACCACTCTGTCAGGATGACGGTGGCCAGTACGGTACCTGTTTGTGTGCGTGCATGCACGCATGCATGCGTGCATGTGTGAGAACAGTGATGGCGGTTTAGTCCCTGGGCTCACTGCCACTGTCCAACAGCTAGAGAACGGGACAAGTTCGGCATGTATGTATCTGCTCTCGCTGGTTCGGACTCTGCTCTCTCTGCTGTCCTTCCGGGGCCCCACGTGACTCTAGTGGTAGTGGCTCTACAGGACATGGTGTGTGTGTGTGTGTGTGTGTGTGTGTGTGTGTGTGAAAATTCAAAGCATTTGTGAGTAATATTGCCAGCTAATTGCTGTATAATTATTGTACTGGTCCCATTCTTATGGATGAAAGAACACTCTTTGTGTTTCACCTTCATTTTAGTGATTTCTTGTAAATTTCGCGTCCTTTCGGGGATTTGTGCTCTCCCCTTGTCAAGGGGGGGGGGGGGTAACACTGTACTATCTATCTACTTACGAGTACATGTCGCTTAATGGTAGTGGCGTTGTGTGTGTGTGGGGGGGGGGGGGTATTGCTACTGAGCTTCCGTTCGAATTAGCATGCAGGGTGAACAAACGCTTTTTTTGCGATGAACTCATGGGGAAGGGGGGGGGGTCCAAAATCCTCATCACAGTAAGGAAGAGTACACCCATTAAGCGTCTGCACACAATCACTAAGTAACTAGTGAAGCTGTGAAGCACAGCATAAACTGTTAATGATTGTCCACAGCTTACTTACAGCTTACTTACAGCGTGTGACCATCGACGGAGCAACAGAGTGATAGTAGTTTGAGAATGAATTTTTCTAATGATGAAAGTAGAAACGAGTGGAAATGTGAAGGACAATTGTTTGTTTCAGCATGCACACCACCGTAATTTGTGGAACAATGGAGTAGTGGTCATTGTAACAAACGGATAAGCTGAAGTACAGTATTTGTAGCCTGGCCTCAGTGGGCCAGGCAGCAGACAAGGAGAATCATCAGATCAAACTCACCAGTAGGTCACAGTTCAGTTGTAGATCAGATGTAGACTCAGAATCAGACTGAATTGGAAGAGCATGAACTGATGTGTGACAGCCCTACTTATACCTGGCCAGAGTGCTCCCTGTCCAATCAGGAGCTATGCATGTGACTACCATGACTACAGGTGTGGTGCAACTGCACCAACTAGGAATGCAGTGAGTCATGCATGATGTCAAGTAACAGATGCCTGCTAAAAAAGTATGAAAACAAGAAAAAAGATTTTTACAACAAGGTGGCTCGAGCCTAAACTACACGATCTACTGTTCCCAAACCACTGGCATCCCTCCATACAAGGTACAATGAATGAGGCATGCCCAAATATGCAATATGCACTGTGTTACATAATCATGGTAATAGAACAACACGCACGCTTCCTGCCGACTGATTTGACCAAATTCACGACTGCATCTGGACCATATGACAAGGCCCGTCAAGCCTCCACTCCGCCAACCTGCAAGAAACCACCACACCCTGCTCAATACACAGTTTATTCTGTACATAAAAGACGCTCTTACCTTCCTCCTCGCTCATACCAACTGCTTTGAGTAAAATATAGAATGATAAATAGTGTTGCAGATGGCCATAGCCCTGGTGGTGGCACAGAATTCTTTGTTGCGCAATTTGTTTGGAACACACACACGCATACACACACACACACACACACACACACACACACACACACACACACACACACACACACACACACACACACACACACACACACACACTTGGGCAGGCAAGCAAAGCATAGTCTAGCATAGACTAGTTAATTTTTGTTGTTCACTTACATGCTGGAATCCCGGTGACAGCACTGTCAGCACACTCCTATACGGAAACACAGAAATCGCGAACTAAAATGATTCATTTCAAGAACACAAACCTAAAACAGCAAAGGTGTGACCAAGGCAACAAATAAATCCAGTGAGACCAGTCTCAGCTAATTCTATACAATGGCAACACTATAATAATTAGTGCTGAAACGATTATATCGATTACTCGTTACTTACTCGTTAATATATCGAGCGGTTATTTCGATTTTAATGGCTAAACGAGTAGAATGGTACTTACGCTTGGTACGGGATTTCCCCTCTTTTGGGGGGTTGCACAAAGCGGGCATGCACCGAAAGACTTTAAGTGCTGCGAGTACGACACGAATATGTACATGACTGTACACTTGCAACATCGATGTATGTGTAAAAGTACAACTACAAGCGCAATCTGAGAAACATCGACATTATCACCGGTCACCGTCGCCGTCTTTTCAGCTGACTACTTTTCTTACATACAGCATGCAGGACTGACAGGCTCAGTATGTGTCTACACTAGCTGCAGAGGCGGAGTTCCCTCCACATGCGATAAGTCTTGAGCTAAAGACAGTAAAGTGGTCTTCAGGTTCGTGTTTTCCGTTCTGTCGACGGTTCCCGAACCAGTTTGCTCGACGACGAGCTAGGCCTGGCGTCTAGGCCAATTTTGAGCATAGACAGGAAAAGCAACTAGTTACTTGTTGGCGAGCCTCAAGTCAGCTCATCGGTCGCAATCCACCGATCTGCACCCCTGACCGGCTTCTCTGACTTCATCGCCGGAGTCAGCGAAGTCGCAGGCGAAGGGCAACATCAGCTCTTGGGTTGCAACCAGTGCGTCGCCTCTGTCTTGTCTGCATTCGTCTCGTCAGTCCGAACAACAGACGGACTTGTTGCGGGATCATCGGATCTATGCACCCGCTTTCCGTAGTTGGCGATGTTGGACTCATCATTTTTTGAAAATTCACAGAATGTAGATTGTACTGATGTAGTTACAAGAATAATCGTTGAGCCGATAAGCCGATCGTTATGATATCAGCTATTAAAGCCACTAAGGAAAAAACGTAATCGTTTCAGCACTAATAATAATAACCGTAGACCTTTAGCATTTGTATGGTCCGCGGCGGTGCCCTGGAGATTCCGTCAAAACTAGCGGAGAACATTCAGGGTTTGCTTGGCACTGAAATTGATATGGAAGCTGGGTGGGATGAGCACCCAGATCCAGGGAATGAACGTTATGTCCGAAACTGGTGTGGAGTCGGAGGGTCTGCTTATTTGTCCTTCTTTAGATTCAGGCGAAACGGGAAGCGCCGGAAGGTGCTTTCCCAAAGGTCTTCAGCGCCAGCAATTCGCTGTATTTTGTTAATAAATTGTTTACCGGTACTAAAAATGAAAAAAATGTGGGTTCCTCGAGGACGAGCACCGCGGATCATCCATATGCAAAGGCTCTATACTCACTTGACTAGAAAGTGACCCTAGAGTTTGTACCGTTATTCTTTACAGACACGCTCGAATCAAAGCTGTGTTTGCTTACCGTGGTATTTCACCATGATATTTTCGCCAGGTTTCAACATTTAGGTTGCGTTTGGTTGGGCATTTTCAGAATATAAGGTTACGTTTGGTTGGTCACATTCCCAAATGGGAATCACTTGGAATCACTCGGAATCATTCTCGCCCGTTTGGTTGGTCAAAAGAGTGCGTTAGGTTGGTCACATACCACATGATTCCAGAATGGGAATCGCTGAGAATGATCCTTTTTGGAGAATGATCATTCCACCTCACATGCTGGAATGAGCATTCTCATTCCGGAATCAAAAATGATAATGGCTGCCACGAGCCAAACAATGTAGCAACAGGTTCAAGTGCCTCAAATCATGCACTCAGAAGTACCATGACTCTCTCAAGGAAACTAGAGTCGGGTAAAAGAAAAGACAGCCCAGTTCCACAACGACATCATGGAATTGTTATGTCAAGTGATTCCTAATTGATTCTGGCGCGTTAGTTTGGTCAGGTGATTCTTGCCGATTCCCATTCCAGAATGGTTGTCATTTACATTCTGAAAATGCCCAACCAAACGCAACCTAAGTGACAACCATTCTGGAATGGGAATCGGCAAGAATCACCTGACCAAACAAACGCGCCAGAATCAACTAGCAATCATTTGACATAACAATTTCATGATGTCGTTGTGGAATGGCGGCTCTCTTCTCTTTTACCCGACTAAGTTTCCTTGAGAGAGTCAAGGTACTTCTGAGTGCATGATTTGAGGCACTTGAACCTGATGCTACATTGTTTGGCTCGTGGCAACCATTATCATTTTTGATTCTGGAACGAGAATGCTCATTCCAGCATGTGAGGTGGAATGATCATTCTCCAAAAAGAATCATTCTCAGCGATTCCCGTTCTGGAATGGGACCAACCTAACGCACTTTTTTGACTAACCAAACGGGCGAGAATGATTCCGAGTGATTCCAAGTGATTCAGTCCCATTTGGGAATGTGACCAACCAAACGTAACCTAACTACTTCTTAAAAATATGGTGCTACAGTAAAACCTGTAACTAAAGACCACCGTGACTAGCGACCAGCCTGGTACTACCGACCACTTTGCCAGGCACGGACGATCTCACATTCCAAATGCACTGTGACTAGCGACTACCTGCTGAACGCGACCAGCGACCACCTTTTCTTGTCCCAAAGATGATTTTTGACCCGTAACTAGCGACCGCGATGTAGGAAATCAAATGTTGCTCGAAGCTCCTTCTTGAAATTTTTGCTGATTTTCCATGGTCCTGAAAGAAATCCTTCGATACTACAGCTGAACAAATGAACACAGGTCTTTTGACTGTGTAGTCGATGTGGACTGCACTACACCTGTCAAATTTGCAAGCGCTGTCAAGAATATACATGATAGGAAATGTCTTGGAGAGTGCATCGAAAGCGCTCTCTGATGGATGTTACTACTCGGAGGAGAAACGAAGACTGAGCGGCTCTGTCACCCCAGTCATGAAGACGAATCGATGATGGCATCAAGTAATTCAGAAACAAAGCAGCACCGCATGGTCCTGCTGCTGAAGGATCGCGTTCAAGCAATCGAGAAGTCACAACAAGGACAGTCGGTACGATTAATCGCATGAACAAATTTGAAGCCAAACTTCCACAGAAGTAGCAGCTGAATTTGATGTCTGCAAAAAAAATAATCTTTTCTCCCTCTCTCTGTCTCTCTCCATTTCTCCGTCTTTTTCTCCAAGTGTTGTTGGACCTGGAATAAGCATTGCACAAGTCCTGGGGGTATTAGCTGCATTTTGACATACATTATCATATAATGGGATCCATGGTGCAAACTTCAAACTAAAGACCACCTGCTACTAAAGACCGCTTTTGCTGGCACCAAGGGGTGGTCAAGGGGTGGTCAAGGGGTGGTCAAGGGGTGGTCAAGGGGTGGTCAAGGGGTGGTCAAGGGGTGGTCAAGGGGTGGTCAAGGGGTGGTCGGTAGTCACAGGTTTTACTGTACTTACAAATGAAATTGATCACCTGAAGTGTAGTTCTATCACCTGAAGTGTAGTTCTATCACCTGAAGTGTAGTTCTATCACCTGAAGTGTAGTTCTATCACCTGAAGTGTAGTTCTATCACCTGAAGTGTAGTTCTATCACCTGAAGTGTAGTTCTATCACCTGAAGTGTAGTTCTATCACCTGAAGTGTAGTTCTATCACCTGAAGTGTAGTTCTATCACCTGAAGTGTAGTTCTATCACCTGAAGTGTAGTTCTATCACCTGAAGTGTAGTTCTATCACCTGAAGTGTAGTTCTATCACCTGAAGTGTAGTTCTATCACCTGAAGTGTAGTTCTATCACCTGAAGTGTAGTTCTATCACTACCACAGATCTAGTGGTGCTGAAATCACACCCTACCCTATACCAAAAATAATAGACGTTTAAATACAGAACTCCTTCGGCAGATATGACCACGCCAGGGGTTCTTGACGCGGGGTTGGGTCCAGTTAGTAATTGGAATACGGAACTGAACTCCAGATACCAGAATTGCTCTCGATTCCCATGACCTAGGGCAACATCTTTCCCATGGCCTAGGGCAACAACTTTCCCATGACCTAGGGCAACAACTTTCCCACGACCTAGGGCAACAACTTTCCCACGACCTAGGGCAACAACTTTCCCACGACCTAGGGCAACAACTTTCCCACGACCTAGGGCAACAACTTTCCCACGACCTAGGGCAACAACTTTCCCACGACCTAGGGCAACAACTTTCCCACGACCTAGGGCAACAACTTTCCCACGACCTAGGGCAACAACTTTCCCACGACCTAGGGCAACAACTTTCCCACGACCTAGGGCAACAACTTTCCCACGACCTAGGGCAACAACTTTCCCACGACCTAGGGCAACAACTTTCCCACGACAAAGGGCAACAACTTTCCCACGACCTAGGGCAACAACTTTCCCATGACCTAGGGCAACAACTTTCCCATGATCTAGGGCAACAACTTTCTCATGACCTAGGGCAACAACTTTCCCATGACCTAGGCAAACAACTTTCCCATTACCTAGGGCAACAACTTTCCCATTACCTAGGGCAACAACTTTCCCAGGACGGATATGTTGGATAACTTTCCCAGGACCTAGGACAACAACTTCCCCAGGACTTAGGACAACAACTTCCCCAGGACCTAGGACAACAACTTCCCCAGGACCTAGGACAACAACTTCCGCAGGACCTAGGACAACTCTAGCATGGGAAATGCCTACGGATATGCTTTGAGACGGATTGACTAACGCAACTCACGGTCTTGCTGAAGGGCATGGCTTGCGACTTGGCACTTGTAGCCCAAACTATCCAATGTCGTTAAACACAGTGGCTTCGTGATTGGGAATGAATGGCACAGCACCGGCTCTGAAACAGACAGACAGCCAGGGAAGATGGAAACATATAGAAAGATAAGTAGGCAAGATAACCACAGATGCACAGACAGACAAGAAGGAAGGCAGACACTAGAGAAATGATGGAACATAATAATCCGATTGAAGATGAGGGTGAGACCTTTGCCATCATTATCATTGGGCAATGATCCCATTTGACTTTGCGAAGTAAAATAATACAAGAAATCAGGGAAAGAAGGTCTCCGGAATTCATGAACCAGTTTTCGAAAACTAGTTCATGAATTTCGGAGTCCTTATTGGTGATGATGGCGAAGAAAAGCTTGAGATTTGTAGTTTTTCTGTCCATGGTAAGCTTCCTGTCTCCAAAAAAGTTCATACAAGAAATAGAAAAAATAAAACTGGATATGATGGAGACGGTTGATTATAATGGAGGCAAAGACACACCTGGCAATATGGCGGTAAATACACGCCTGCCCACACACGCTCTCTCGGCTGCAAAGTTCTAGCACAGAGCTCTCCATCTCACCACCAACACCATTAGCTCGCGCCTGGCGCCTAGTCGATGCATGGTTGGCAGTATCCGACATAGCAGGCTGGTACATCATGGAGACGGACATGTGAACGACAGGCCCAGTTTGCTGCATCTGCAATGCTTGGAAAAACCATGAGTGAAAGCACAGGGTGGAACAGGGTGGTTTACCTAAACGAGTACCTGTACACGTAGTACTGAATATGGGATTAAATTGCCGAGAATGATTTGATCCACCTGTAGCGAGCCCCTTGGCAACACATGACCAGGGGAATCTGACAGTAGGGAGTTGCATGTTGAAAGAAAACATGCTGCTATCCGTCTTCAAAGTCTGTGTGGATAGTTTGAAACTCCACATGTTCTGCCAGAATAACTTAGAGCAGCTGGTGCATCGATTTTTCAAGTAGGGTTCAGATGAAAGACAATTTGATGTTTGAATGGCGTATCTCTCGCTTGCATACGATAAGCCAAACTCCCCAAATCGTAAATTGTATGCATACGTTGCCATAGCAACCGGCGCAGTGATAACGTAAGATCGGCTTAGCTCCGTCAGAGAGAAGGTCAAACAACATGTTGCAAAAGAAGGATCCACATGCCCAGGCTGATTACAGTTATAGCAGACAACAGTACTGCGAGGTCGGTGTACACCTCCACTGTAACTACTGGTACTGGCACTAGCAGAAACGCTCTGGCTGAACCTGCTCGTGTACCGAGCATCGGTCTCACTGGCTCTGAGCGCACGCACACGCTCTAGACACGCAGGTATCGTCAGCTCTTGGCCAGCCAGTGACATTCTCAGCTGGCGGCCAAATTCGGGCTGTAGGCCAGCGATCAGTTGCTCGATCACGATCGGATCCTTGCTGGCGGTACCACCCGGTTTGTGCCCCGACAGCGCTGCATAACGCTGCAAATCGGCCACATACGCGTCGACACTTTCATCCACACGCAAACAACGGCGCTTGAACAAATCTTCACACTTGCCACGTGATCGTTGCCACGGTTTGACCCAATCAGAGCGGTCACAGGCTGGGCATGAAATACACAATCATACACAGTTGCGAGGGCAAGACGCTCTGATCTTGCCCGAGGTCTGTGAGTGATCTTGCCCGAGGTCGAGCGCCCCGAGGGCGTCTCGACCGAGGGCAAGAACACTCACATGACCGAGGGCCAGATCAGAGCGGCTTGCCCGACGCAACTGTGTATGATCGTGGTTCATACATGGCCCACCTCCCGAACACTGATAACTACAAGTAAGCCTTTTAAGTTTTTTCTTTGCTCAATGCTCAAGAACAAGTACTAGGTTGGTCGGGGACGTGGTGGCTACACTATCACTCCTTTCCTGACACGCGATGATCTTATCAATTTTCGCTTACATCAGTACATGAAGGCCTCGTGCGTAGATCTACTGTGCTACGCGCCTTGGCCAGCGCCCGGGCCTTGGGCCTGCCTGGCCGTACGCTCATCGGAGTCATGGTCATGTTTTCACTGGCATTCTTTGAAACTGTATATAAGCGCGATACCACCTAGGGGTGGAGGTCGGGGACGTGGTGGACGGATCTCTTGCCATTTTTTCCAATTATTTACTCCTCAGGTTAAGTCGTCCTTTCGTACTCGTAGACTGTATATAAACGCGATACCACCTAGGGGTGGAGGTCGGGGACGTGGTGGCCAGAACTCTTGCCATTTTTCCCTTGGCCTTGAAGAAGAAGAATGTTTTGAATTGTTTTCAGGTTGTCGCTGTTTAGTTTTGTCACTCCTTTACTGACACGCGTACAAACCTGTTGTCAACATCGCCATTAGCTTGTAGAATACTGCATTGTATACTGGATTGTAGAATACTACATGTAGCCACCTTTGCTACCTTACATCATAGTACTTGTATGTTTATTACATCAATGAACAGAACTGAGCATGAGGTCATGTCCACAGGCATGCCCAATCTACACCTGCAACGTCGACTGCCATTGTGCGCCACCCGCAAGGATAGGTGGTCTTCTCGTTGAACACTGTGACTTCAAAAGCAGTACTGGCCAACTCTTTCGTTTGGCGGACGACAAATGTTCAATGTTGACCGTGTCGAGCACTTTAGGAAATGGTAAATGCGCATGCGCGCAGCAATGCTATTTTACTCCAGATCATGACCGGCTGACTGAAGTTCTTGACCGGCTGACTGAAGTTCTTGACCGGCTGACGGAAGTTCTTGACCGGTCAGGATCGCCTGATCCCTGGCCGTACGCTCATCGGGGTCATGGTCATGTTTTCACTGGCATTCTTTGAAACTGTATATAAGCGCGATACCACCTAGGGGTGGAGGTCGGGGACGTGGTGGCTGGATCTATCGCTTTTTAGAAGAAGTATTTGCAGAATTGCCAAAGCTCATGCGTACGGCCTACGCCCTTGGCCTTGATTCATGGTCAGGTTTCACTTGCGAACTGCATATAAGCGCAACACCACCTAGGGGTGGAGGTCGGGGACGTGGTGGACGGATCTCTTGCCATTTTTTCCAATTATTTACTCCTCAGGTTAAGTCGTCCTTTGATGCTCGTACTCGTAGACTGTATATAAGCGCGATACCACCTAGGGGTGGAGGTCGGGGACGTGGTGGACAGAACACTTGCCATTTTCCCCTTGGCCTTGAAGAAGAAGAATGTTTTGAATTGTTTTCAGGTTGTAGCTGTTTAGTTTTGTCACTCCTTTACTGACACGCGTACAAACCTGTTGTCAACATCGCTCAACATCGCCATTAGCTTGTAGAATACTGGATTGCTTACTACATGTAGCCACCTTTGCTACCTTACATCATAGTACTTGTATGTTTATTACATCAATGAACAGAACTGAGCATGAGGTCATGTCTACAGGCATGCCCAATCTACTGATGATTGTAGACCTGGTTTCAACCATGTACTTACTCTACTCTCCTCCAAAGCCAATACAAGGACGGCAAGGACTTAGGTCCTGAGATGAACTGAGATGGCAACGGAAAACTGACGCAGACCCCTGCACTGTAGAGCTAGGCTGACAGCGTGAGGGCCTTTATCGGCTCATCAAGGCCACCGCGGGAACGTCGCTCATTGGCTACAACCATGGAAACGGCACTGTAAAAACCTGAAGGCAATGTTAAAGTGGCTGTTAATGTTTATTTCACCATGAATTTGAAAAGAAGATGGGAGACGGAAAATGTAACTCAACATCCAAAAATGTGCTGCGCGTCTAGCACACTGGAATAGGTGCACGTCTAGAAAGGGGAAAAGGAAGAAGTAGTGATACGCATACTGATCAAAGCCGAGTAACATGGAAATTAGGAATAGGGGTCGACACCGGCGCAAAGATCACAAGGAACACGAAGGCCATGAGCAGAGCGGCAAGCAAAACGCAGCTAAGAACGGATAGGAATATTAATAACACGTGGCACGACATAAAATCTACTGTGAACGGTCCTGAACAGGTCCATTCCGCTACAGTGTCGCTTTGAGAAGCGAACTCGGTGATACTATAGTATCGTGAAATGGAAGCTTAGAACGTGTACAGATACAGTATTTCAAGATTTAGAAATCACCTGCCCGTCTATCTTACAGGTGCAGGTGAAGATCACGGGGTACTTCTTCTACTGGATAAAACAAAATTTGTAGTGCTATTTAGTGAAGGGTAATGTTCAAATTGAAAACTGCTCCTGAGAAGCTATTTCCAGATCCTAAGTTTAACTGAGCGTTGCGCAAGACAGGACCAGCCGCAGACGGCTCCTCCAGCGCGAGAAGCTCTGCTGGCGTCAAGGTGACCAGGGCCTAACGCAGAGGTCGGTGGAAAAGGAAGAAGAGGAGTGTTCAGATGAGTCAGTTGGAGAAGATGATACCAAAGATGAAGCGGATGGTGATGAAGCTGGTGACGTGGAGTGCGATAGTGACCTGGAGTTGTTGATGTCAAGAAAACGGCAGTTTACAGGCATTTGGTAGGTCACCCTAATTGTTGTCATTCATACTCAGATTCTTCTTTCACTGTGTTGTGTCGTGCGAGTCACCTCATATTACAGAAGGAGAGTGTTACCTCACATTGTTTACGTTGTAGTTTAGTGCGAGTGTGGCGAGTGTGATTGTTGAAATGGTTGCGCCAGGTGCACGTGTACCTGGCTGTCCTACAATCTTAGAGCAGACACTGCAACCCGTCTCTTCTTCATGCTGCTCTTAGATATTTACATGGCATTTGAGCAACTTACCTCAGGAGAAATGAAGGACATCATCTATTTGAACTGAGCCGGGTCAGTAAACGGCTGCAAACTGTCAATCTTGAAACAAAGTACACAAAATAATGCAGAAACAGTACACATATTAGAGATTCATATTGTGCAGAAATATATTTGGAGTCTTCTGTCGTCAGGTCCTGCATCTGTCGTCGGGTGCAGGACCTGACGATGGGCTTTTCCAGTACCCTCACTCCCCGCCCTCACTCCCCGCCCTCACTCCCCACCCACACTCCCCACCCACACTCCCCACCCACACTCCCCACCCACACTCCCCACCCTCACTCCCCACCCTCACTCCCCACCCTCACTCCCCACCCACACTCCCCCCCCCCTCACTCCCCCCCCCCACACTCCCCACCCACACTCCCCCCCCCTCACTCCCCCCCCCCACACTCCCCACCCACACTCCCCACCCACACTCCCCACCCACACTCCCCACCCACACTCCCCACCCACACTCCCCACCCACACTCCCCACCCTCACTCCCCCCTCACTCCCCACCCTCACTCCCCACCCTCACTCCCCACCCTCACTCCCCACCCTCTTATTTCGATTGCAAGGAGAGTTCAGACAGAAAGCAAAGCCGGTACTACTACAGTGCAGGCACGCATGTGCAAAGTGGCGCCACCTGCGCAGTCCGCACGCAGCGGTGAGCCCCGAGCGCAGCACAGCACCAAAAAGGACCCTCGTAGAGCTAGTGTTAAAAACGCTTCAGGCTATCCCAGAAATAATCCCTGGCAATAAGAATATACCCACGTACACATGCTAAAAGATAACCGCTCCAAACGTCGGAGCTCCCACTTCCTACCGACTGACTTGACACTTGACTGACTCACTATGTCGCGAACCATGTACATACCCTTTACATAAACCACTCGAAGCAGACCATATTTTCCTTAGTGCCCAATTTTCTTGTGAATCAAGACTGAAGAATATTTACAAGGGGAGAGCGATAATATAGGTGAGTCGGAGTGTATGCCTGTAGCAGTAGTGTGCCGTGAAAGTGTCTTGCGTACAGCGTCAGCAGAAATATACAAGCGATAAATATACAAACGCATCGAAATTAGCTCCCAAGGAGTAGCGAAGAATCAAAGAGAAGCAAGAAGAGCACCAAGTTGTGGAACTAAAACAGCTCCACGTGCATGTAGCTGAAAAGGTGACACATAAAGATACGCACGGTGCAACGAGTCCAACTGTGAGCATGAAAATGGATAGTGAAGGCCATCAAAGATGCCGATAGTCGTACACACAGTCCGTGTTGGATGTCGGTGCGTGTGCAAGCCAAGGTGCATGGGTTCAAACTGAATCAAAGGGTGCCCGGAACGGAAACATTAGAAATGCAACGAAGTGCAAGGTGAGAAAAAGGGTGCCCAGAATTGAACCTTAGATATACAAACGAGTGCAAGATGAGAAAAAGGGTGTCACAAAGGGATGCGAGTGATTGAAGGTACAGGTCATGCACTGAACAAGGATACATGTATACGTAGACCTACGTAGCTGTGAATTCTTGGTTATATACATGCATTGTGCTCGTGACTACGAATAAATCCGATCGCATTCGCGACACACTACTCGGCTTTGGGCCCGGTCCAACATGCACTTGAGACCTGCGGTTCCGCTGCTGTATGGTAGATGCCATTGAACGAGCAGGGCCCGGGTGTGATCACGACGGATGCAGCACACATCATCACTACCATTGGATACTACATGTACATGATTGCGTGGAAGATAAGCCGTAAGAAGTGAATTCTTGGCTAGTGATCAGAGAGAAGGAAAGAAAGTGGTTGAAGGTATGGGACCTGGTACCCAAATGGTCTCCAATGTAACAGATGATTCACACTGTTACTCTTGTCTTGTCACCTGTGTACTCGCTTTACTCATTGCCTCCAAAAAAGAGGAAGTTTCCATTGTGCTTTGCTGAATAAAGTAACCGCTCCGAACGCCAGAGCTCCCGCTTCCTACCAACTGACTTGACCGACTCATTACTGCTAAGGGCACGGTCCCACATGTACTTGAGACCTGCGGTTCCGCTGCAACGGTATCACAAGAGTGTGTATCACCATGGAAACTGCGAGTAGCGGAACTGCCGCTGTGGCGGAAAGTTCAAATCCGCTACTCCAAAAATTATTTGGAGCGGATACTTTCCTGCGGAAGTTCTGCTCCTGCGACACTCCGACATAGAGAGCGATTTGTGTTGTTTGATTTTTCTTTCGATCATGAAATGGACACTTGACTGAGTCAGAGCAGCTACTGCTGCAGTTGTATGTTGAAGTCCAGACTCTTTTGACAAACGAATGAAGAGAGATACGGAGCGGTATAGGTGGATAGCCGAGAAGATGGAAGCTGAAACCAACGACTGCGGCGTCGGCCAAACTCGCAAAGCCTAAATTCTGGACCCGTGAGCAGCTACGCATGGCCAGTCATGGAAAACCACGCAGGGGGACCGCTGTCATGAAATGATGAGGTACACGTAGGTCAGGCAAGAGCAATACTAGTATCATTGATTCTGTAGCAGTTATCGTCGACGTGCTACTCAACAAGTTACTACTAGTATTCAGCAGATCTTGGTTATACATGTAATGTGGCTAGATACAGTTTCATGCGCCGTCACAACAGAGAACTAGCACACCCTGGCATGGGAAATAATCATCCCAGGAGCGATACGTTCGAGGATCAAAGTGCAGATGCAGCGCCTAAAGCAGAGGGAGGGAGGCGAGTAGATCAGACCCACCATGGCCAGTACATGTACACTGGGAAGCCAACATAATACAACTTTGTGGGTGCCCACCTCAATGGGCTGCACAGTGTCTGCTTTAGCCTTCAGGATTTCAAACCAACCGGGTACACATGTACCCGACTCAACTCTTGCTACCGGGTCGGAGCCGGGTACGTTGAAGCTCGGCTACTGTACACCAGGGAGTCGTAAAATATTCTACGACTCCCTGGTGTACATGATGGTACATATTTCATAGGCCTACTGAAGTAGTTTTGTTGAACACATGTAACTTTGTTGTTGGTTGACGACCCGGTGTTCTTTTTCCGAACACCAGGGAGTCGTAAAATATTCTACGACTCCCTGGTGTATGATGGTACATATTTGATAGGCCTACTGAAGTAGTTTTGTTGAACACAATCATGTAACTTTGTTGTTGGTTGACTACCCGGTGTTCTTTTTCCAAACACAGGGGCGGATCCAGGGAGTGCGAAAGATGCTCGCGCACCCCTCAGGATTTCAACAACAAAGAAAGGAGAAGAGCCTGAAGACACCTGTGGCTGGGTCATTTCTTCTTTTTCAATTATGGCGGCTGTGCTTTATAGGACAGTCTTGTCTAGTCGTGACTTCTCTTCCTGGGGTGGCTGGGAGTAGACCTTGGCAACTTTTGAACTTGGCGCTCGAAAAATTGGGTCCAAGTAGATCTACCACCAAACCGGCTCGCTGGCCCGGCTGGCCTGGCTCTGGAGGAGACATTGAATTATTGGTATGACTGGTTCGCCTGTAACAGTGCAAGTCAGACTTACCTGAGCAAAGACATGGACGCTTCATTGCAAACGAGTCGTGTCCAGTAATGACAGCCGTTACTATCGCCGTGGACTTCGCCGTGTAGATCTACGTCATGTAGCAGCAGGCGAATCAGCCCCGAGAGCCTTCTGCTCTGCAACTACCAGCCGGCAACGGGTGGCGGCAACACTGCCAACAGCGGCTAAACTGGAGTAAGACGGTAATGCATAGGTCGAGCAGTAAGAACAACAGAAGAATTTTTATTACTTCCTGCCTGGTCGCTCGAAACGACCTCGAAGAAGATGAAAAAACCGTTACTAGTATATCGGAACCAATGTTGAGCAGTAGCATACATCCACACACACACACGCTTACTGTGTAGTTATTACAGGAGGAATATCGAACTCACCAAGCTCCTGAGCCGCTGAGCATCCGCCAGGTCTAGCTCGGGACTTGCGGCATTAGCAAAGGGTTGGGCAGAAGAAGGTGAGCAGCAACAACAGCAGTAACCGTGCTCCTACATCGCCAGCTACACAGGTGGAAGTAAGTAGTTGAAACCTATGCCTATGGTCCGAGGTTGGTGTTTTTTTTGTCGTGCAAAGCAAAGGCCTAGCACCTAGCTTGGCGAGCGCGCGGGTGCAATACTAGGTAGTGCGTAGATCTACTGTGCAGTCCGCCTAGCCAGGACATGAACCGCAATGCGGACGCAGACGTGTGAAAAACAGCCGCAAGTTAGTTAGTGCAGTGCATGTAGGGTGCGTTCACACGAAAGGCATGCTTCATGGCACCTAGCTGGCAAGCTGGCACGCAGCATGCATCATGCATCATGGTGCGACTTTCATACCAGGAGTGGAACTGTGGTACATAATTATACTACTCATGGCAATGCCACTAAAGTTTTTGTTCGTTTGTTTTTTGGACAAATTAATTGAATACAAACAGCAGCCACTAAAGTAATGGGTCCCCGGCCCCCGCCAGGTCAGGACTCGACAGGAGAGCCTGGTCTAGACTTCCAAGACTCGACTGTTTGTTCTGGTTGATAAAGGGGGGGGGGGGGGGGAGCTATTATTATGATTGTATGAATGATTGTTGACTACACCATGCATGCCTAGTACACCATGCATGCCTAGTACACCATGCATGCCTAGTACACCATGCATGCCTAGTAAAGCATGCTTTAGGGCCTGCAGGGCCTCTGAGTCTTACACCCACCGTAGGGTCGGGAGGCTCCCGGAGCCACTTTTCAACATGTCGCCGCAGGCTGTGCTGACACGGGAACAGGCGTGACTTCGCCTTTGCATGCAGGCCACTTAGGTAAAGCAAGAAACGGTTTCTTGTCAAGCCCGGCCCCAAATGACCACACACACCCACACCCACACCCACACCCACACCCACACCCACACCCACACACACACACACACACACACACACACACACACACACACACACACACACACACACACACACACACACACACACACACACACACAAACACACACACGCCGCTATTGTCTCTCAGACCATGATTCCTTTCATTGCATAAACTGATAAAGGCCTTGCTCTCAACCAGCTACGTGTACATGAATCATCTGGCTTGCAATGTTGCTAGCTGAGTGGAAATGAGAATGAAAAATAGTGCTGATATGCAACAACATACCGACTACGTAGGCAGATCTATTAACATAGAATACTTGCTGAACTAAATCGGAGCTGCAACACATGAACTAAGCCGTGAAGGTGCTAGTGAACTACTTCAAAGTAAAAAAGCTAAAAATTGTGATCCTAAAAAATTGTGATCCTAAAAGTTGTGATCCTACACAATGGTGATCCTAAAAGTTGTGATCCTACAAAAATTGCGATCCTAAAAATGTGACATTGGAGCTGGAATAAAGCAATTTCTCCAAAGTGGCTGTCTCTCTAGACCTCTATCTGGTGCAGTACTAAATTTAATGTCAAAAAGTGTCCCCTGTGGACACAGTCATCATCGAGTCGACCCAGCACGTCACAGTATAATTATTATTTAGTAGCGCGCTGCTTACACCTACAAGTACACTATAGAAGCCGACATAAAAATTGATTTCTGCTTTAACTCGACATTAGCAGCGGGGTGCACACCAGCGTAGCACAGGTCATGCGTGTGACGTTTCCAGAGATACGGCGGAAGGTATAGCTATGCCAGTAGAGGAGCTCACGGCAGCGTTTAATCAAAACCTCCATCAGTAGTATTACTAAGTTTAATATGAACATTAGAACTAGAATTAATGCATTAGACCGACTTGACCAAGCAAGTAGCTAATGCTAGAAGGTTTGCTGATAATGCTGGATAATTGCTAATGATTCAAATTTGCTAAACGGACCTAAAGTACTAAGTTGTGTCCCAAACAGGAATCAACGTGTATATGTGGGGAAGAGTAGTGAAGGGCATCAAGATACAGAGTATTGAGCATTGCTGAGTGGCGCTACCAGAGCTGTCACTGTAGAGCAGGCCAGCAAGCTGAATGCGTGCTCACCGCAGGCAGAGTCCAGTGTGTGCCGGAGTAGGAGTACTAGTGGCAATGTCTGTAGCAATCTAACGCCGTCCCGTGTATAACTTACTCAGGTTCCTGTAGTGGCGGTGGTGGTGCGGTGGCGTCAGACGGGGGCGGTGACATGGCAGAGCTGGAGAGGCCCGCGAGGCCGTGCGGCAGGCTGCTGCCCTTCGACAACGACTGCTTCTGGAAGTGGGCCAGTTTGTCGTCGAAGGTCGCGCTGAAGTCCACGCCTCCGTGACCTGCCGTCCGCCGAAGCATGGACACCTCACTGATCAGCTTGTTAGAGGAGACTTCAAGACGCTGCAGCATTTCCACCACTTGCTCCAGCTGAAATCTAGCCACATGAATACAAGCCGAAGGGCGTACATCATGCAGCAGAACATAGAGAGTTGAGAACGGATGATACCAACTCTACTAGGTAAACGTAGAAGCCAGAAGCCAGTCATTTGGATCATCAATGGCTTCTATGCACTAGCACCTCTGCACAGTTGTGCATCGAGAACTCTTTTAGAGCTGCCTGGACCGGCGGCCCTGTTTGTGGCTTGTATGCTTTCGCGTAGCTATACGGCTTCTGCTGCAATTTCATGGACTTCTAGAGTTTGGTTGTCAGTGATGATGCATGAATAAATCCACTCCCAGTAGCCCTACTATGCACAAGATTGCTAAGCCAGGAGCGTAGCAATGCCGTTGGAGGTGGTTCGGCCGGAGGGGTGTCCCCCGGGAACATTTTGACATTAGGGTGCAAAACCCTGCTTTCTGGCCACCTTTGGCATTATGTTTTTTTTTTAAGGTCCAGCCAAAGCCGGACCGGCTAGAGCGGTTGCTACGCCCCTGTAAGCTGAACTATGGTAGTGGAACCTGGTACACATTCACTAGTATTCGAAATGTTTGAGCCAGTGCACATCTTCAGTAAACATGCACGCGAATACGAACATGAATGCAACACTTCACCACCAAGAAGATGAGGGGGGGGGGGGGGAGGGCTGTGTGGAGTTGACTCTGGAAAATCGGGCAGTTGAAACGACATCTTTGTCCTCCACAGCTCAGAGTAAAGCCAAGCGAAGGCACTTCAAGTTATTGCACAGACTGATCTACACTGACTCACCCTTGCTGATTGAGACGCTTGGTGAGGGCGCGATTCTCTCCCTCCTGCTGATCCAGTCGCTCTTCCAGTGCCTGCAGCTTCTTGTCCTTGCGCACGGAGGAATCCGCCTCGCTTTTGCTAAGTGTTTCGATCTGCTCCGTGTGTCTGCTACCCTGTTCCTTCTGTGCAACTAGTTTGGAGTCGATCTGGGCAGTAAGAGAGGACAGATATCCGGAGCAGCTGAGCATGACGGCATGATGATACCATGCTCAAACTGGTGTAAAGTTGACTAAATTGCCCTGGTATTCATCATCGGTCAAGGGACTTTAATTGCCATGGTGGCCATAATCACCAAGGTGATTTTCGAACGAGAGGCACAGCACACTGTTGAGAAAGTGCTGCATATGTTACATGTATGGTGTATCAGAGAAAGCAGGTGGTCACGCAATGCCATCCTGATGCTGCTATATTTCCCTTGTTTATCAATACAAACCAGAACTGTATGAACGGGCAAGTATCTATTGCAGGGTGGTACTATTTCTGTGCATAACCATTAAGTTCGGGGTGGCAAATCCTACCCACAGAGCAGACAATCGTATAACCTACCACTTCGAGTGTCTTCTCCGTGCTCTCCTGTCTTTGTTCTTGCGTGCCGAGTCGTACCTCGACCTTGTCAAGGTTACTTGTGATCTGTAGGGTTTGCTGCAGAATGCGTTCCTGGATGCTCTGCGCAGCCTTCTCCTGTTCAGTCTGTGCCTCCTCCAGCTGTCCGCTCAAGTGATTGCGAACACTCATAATGCCGGCTGAGGTCTTGGAGCCCCAGTTCTCTGTTAGCTCGTGATTACTGTGCACTGCATCACCGAGCTATACACACACAACCAGATATCCCAACGCGAGTGTGAGTGCGTGCGTACACACATATACAATCATACATCCACATCCACACACACACGCACATACACACACACACACACACACACACACACGCGCGCGCGCGCACACACAGAACCAGACAAACTATTGCTTGTGCAAATAAGCTTGCTAAATTCCAGCATCTGCAAGGATTGGATGACCCAAGGCACTCTAAGTCACATCAAACACTTGCACACATGGTTGGGTGTGGAGTTAACCAGGCAAGACGCCTGCAGAATATTGCCAAGCAGGCCCGGCAGAACTGGTCCAGCTGGTCAGACAAGCACCAATGCATGCTTACTGCTGAGGGTGTCATGTGTAAGAAGACCCTGAGTCTGTGGGGACTGCCCTATACAAATATGAATAAATACAATAATGTCTACCCTCCATATCATACACAAACTGTATGACAGGCTAGGGTATGGCTAGACCAATCAGCAGCTGCTTCCACCGGTCCTGTCAAGCTTTGGCCTCAGCCCAATTCTGTACGCAGAGTTACCCATGCCTCATCACAACTGCATGTGCCCCCAATCAGTCCACCTGGTAAAGACCAGGTCTACGTTGAGCCGGTGCAGTGGGTATGCATAGTTAGGTCGTAGGTCGCTGACAGAACACTTACCTCTTTCTCGGTCTTCACCACAGCCTGCATAAGCTGGCCAGTCCACTTCTCCTGGAGAATGGTCTGATGTGTCAACTGTGCTATGGTCTGCTGCTGTTGAGACTCCAGCAGCTGCTTCTGCTTGTTGAGAATCTTCTCCAACTTCAGGAAACCGTCCACTTTCTCCTCTTGCAATATTTCTACCACAGGACAATATAAATTAATTTAGAGTTGAAGTGCTTTTGAAAAGAAGTATTTGTGACTAGAAATTCCAATGCAATGGTGTCACGCGATCAACACTGCAAGTGTGATGCTCCGAGAGAAGTCACCCTGTGTAGGCAATGCACAGAAAGCAACATACGCCGCCACTGCGTGTACTTGCGTGCACGAAAGCCTGGCAGCCTCGCGGGTTTAACCCACACTTCACAATGCACCCAAGTCACGCTACACCAGCTCTCCAGCCTTAATCGCAGATATCTAGATTTGCGAGACGCAGATTTTGTTGCCCGTACACAACCCCCCCCCCTCCCTTCGGGATTGGTTGGAATGCCGGACTGAAAAGGCTAAAACCTTCTACTGTATATGAAAAGGACGTGATACCATTACCAGTTTATTCTCACCTTGCATGCGTTTCTCCGTGAAGCCCGCCGAGGGCTTATAAAATCTCATGCGCCACCCTTTCAGCTATACACACAAGGACACAGCACACACAGATCATAGAGACAAAAGTCATACACATTGATTTGCCATGCGTACAGCGGTGCAGTCGTGCACTTTCAGCAGAGGGTAGAAAATAGGACCATGCCTGTATCTGGTTCCCAAAATATCACATTGCTGGCAGATTCCTCCAAATATAGTACCCCCCCCCCCCCACACACACACTTATATTCCAGGACTGACGCCTCCATGAAAGGCGACAATATTAAAATAGTATTACAATATTCTAACGAGCTACTACAGTAAAACCTGTCAATGCGACCACCCGGATAAGGCCCAGTGACCACCTGTCCCAGAAGACCACTGCAACCAGGACCAAGGTATGCTATTTCCAGTCAAATAACCCTGGATAAGGAGACCACCTGGTTACAGAGACCACACTTTGAAGATCCCTTGAGCAGTCGTCTTAGACAGGTTTCAATGTAAATTAAACGAACAAATCAGCCGAAATGGATTCGATGGGCAAGAAAGCAGCATACACGTATGCAGGTAGATGTATTCCCAGCACCATCCTGGTAGAAAACAGGTGCCAGATGTGTCAATACTCACAGCAATATCCCATAGCTTAGAAGCCTCTAGATCAGGTAGTACCCACGCTCTGTTGATCTCTACCTGCCTCACAGCGTCGCGGTTCATGGCACCAAACGTGGCCGCCATCTGCGCAATGAGAATTGTCCTCATGATCATGACCACGCCGATCAGGAACAGCAGATACAGAATCACTGGCAGAGCACTGGACACACATATACACCCACACACATACACACACACACACACACACACACACACACACACACACACACACACATATACACCCACCCACACCCACATACATACATAAACACACACGCACATGTGAACACACACACACACACACACACACACACACACACACACACACACACACACACACACACATACACACATAACAAACGAAACACACACAAGCACACACACATGAATATATGCCCATGCGCCCATGAAAGGACTACGGATGCAAGACTTTGTGGGAAGGAAAAAGTTTGCTATTCCCTGATGATGTGCACAGTTGGGAAAGATTTGTATGAGATGTGTTTGATGTGTAACTCAGGTAAGCATCACTCCTTTACTCCACTAGAGGTGCTGCAACCACTGTTTTGGACGACTGAAAAAACCATGATTGGCCATCACCAGCCATCCTGCATTTCCGTTTAGCTCGAAGGGGAAGAGACATTTTAGGCAAAACATCAAACCACCATGATTATTTTAACACACACACGGCCACTATATCTTTTTACCTCAAACCAATGAGTACTCTGTCTTCAGCTCTTTAAATTTCTACGAAGTGACAACCCCCTACAAACTAAAATTTATACTCTCGAGTCACCCGCTCAGTCAAGCATTCGTACATCGCCGACCACATGTTGGGGAGAATGCATCTAAAATATATTTGCCCTCGTCTGCTCACCAGGCTGATGCACGGAAGCCAAGCGCTTACCCAAGTTGCTGCGAGTTTGAATAGTACTGTATCAGGTTACGACCCTCCACGAGAACGCGGAAGCCCAGAAACAGAGTCTCGCCGTAGCTGGACAGCTCCAGGATCAGTCCCTTGTCTTCTTGGACAATGGTACGGGTGACGTTCTGAGCCAGACCATCACTGTCTGCAATGAGCACATCATTTGAGAAGGTAGCACAGAAAACACAGTGCAAAATTGCAAAATATAATCAACAGATGCTGTCAGGGACAGAAAACTACAAATCTCAAGCAATTCATCACCATCATCATCAATAAGGACTGTCCGATATTCATGAACCAGTTTTCGGGTATTCTCTTCGAATGAATTACCTTCCTCCGCTAAGCAAAACTTCGTTGCGTTTTAAGTGTTCTTGTCATGATATTTCTGTCGGCATTAGACATACATGTCAGTGATCTATCCCCTGCATAGGGTAGCTGAGTTGTCATCCATTGTTCTGACAGGCTTTTGAACCTCCGAAAAGCGTGGAGTCCTTTGAAAAAATCGGCGAAGCAGAACCGTTTCTCAACAGGATGTCACCAGAACACAACCCCAGGCGCGCGCGCATGACACTAAAGTGCGAAAATTAGAACCAGTTTGAAAGACCGCGTGGCTCGAAGAAGTGTCCAGGAGCCGGCCAGCGCTCAGGCACTGCTGTACTAGCACAAGTCGATGGTGCGGATCCGCACACAGCCAAATTCAATGCACTTGTGTTTGCAGCGCAGGGGAAATCAAAAGCGTTCGACATTCAGGTTGTCGTTCAGTCGGCGCAGAATCCTGATCTCAACGTCGACGACTTGGCGTTCTTCCACAGCCTGTAGACTGACGTGCCACTCGTGGCGAAGGAAACCAGAAAGGAGCTTCTGCAGGGTGTGGAAACGTGCTGGCACGACTACACCGCTGCGAAGATGGAGAGCGTTTATTTGGCTCTTTATGGCTCCTTCCATGGCGTTCCGGAGAGTGGCCACAACTAGCAGCGCCACCGTGGAGGTCGTCAAGCTCACAGTTCGAGCGAAGAACTTGGCGATCTCCACGATCACAATAATCGTGTCTTGGAAACTTGTAAAGGCTGCGGAACGAAAGCTGGCAGCGCTGGCGGCGACAGTCAGCGAGGATGCAGACTCGATGTCATCAGAGAGTGAGTCATCATCAGATTCAGACGGAGAGTGAAGCTGGACTGCTTTGAAACGAGCTGTGTGACATCTGTAAATAACTATCTTTCATATCCTGCCTTGTTTTCCACTTTGCAAAGCGTGTTCGTAGCCATAGAATGATTAGGGCTGAACTGTAAAAACGCAACGAAGTTTTGCTTAACGGAGGAAGTACAAGCAACCAGAACCAATAAAACATAAGGATAACTAGCACCACGAGGGTGGTAGCCATTACAACAAGGTGGTAAAAACAACTGGAAAACTGGTTCATGATTTTCGGAGTCCTTATTTAATAATGATGATGGTGATGAATAGCTTGAGATTTGTAGTTTTTCTTTCCCTGATAAGCTTCCTGTCTCCAAGAAATGCTGTTTAATTCTTTTCGCTCTAGACACGAAACAAAAAGAGGATACATGATAGCCTTGAAACATCAGTATCAAGGGCCTATTCCAGCAGAAGGGCGTGGGTATAGGCAGATACAGCAGTAAGTATCAATTTCGTATCGCAATCCTAGATTGGCTAGGGTGCCCCGTAAGGAGATCATAGGTCTGTGGGGACTGCCCTAGAGAAATACGAATAAATACTATACTATACTAAGTTCTTTTATCACATCTTTTAACGAGAATACTCTCCAGTGCTCTATCACACGTGGACGACGGATTTCAACCAAGCGACTTACCAGCTACTATATCTGTTACTTCCTCGCTACCTCTGACATGGGAACGTAGCGATGCGTAGAACGCGCCGGACCAGACGAAGAGAGCCAGTGAGAAGATCAGAAAGAACTTGGGCAGCACTTTCTGACAGATGCCGACGAGGACACGCGTGTACACTCCAATCAGACTGTTCACAGAACCAGACAAGTGCGTGCACACAACCAGACAAGTGCGTGCACACAACCAGACAAGTGCGTGCACACAACCAGACAAGTGCGTGCACACAACCAGACAAGTGCGTGCACACAAAAGCACACACATATCATGCACAGGACTGCAGGAAGCAGTTTCGGATAGATCCGGCCATACCATATCTATACAATACTTTGTGTATGATGTAGCAGGTACACCTAACCTCCTCATCCGTTTTTTAACCAATGCATGTTTAAAAACATGCTTTGGTGGCCTACAAGATGGTCTGGTGGTGACTTAGCCAACTGGATCGGTTCCAGCGGGCCTGATACATATTGTACAACATGCCCATCGGCAGGTGGAACAGCTGAGAGCAAGAACTACATAACCGCGTTGTACTAAGGGGTGAGGAATACAATGATCAATCAACCTGGCAAAAGCCTAATAGCCGCAGTACCCAGCAACATCCCCACCCCACACATCTTCTACAGGGGCAGGACATGTTATGTTATGTTATCTGTATTAACTTACTTCACCATAGGTACAGGCATAAATCCAGACCCGTACTTTCCCGGAGTTTAGCCAGTCCAGTACAGGCTTACTTGTTCTCCACATAACTATGCCGAAGGTACTGTAACCAGGAAGTTTTAGTGGGGCAAAATCCTAAATGATTTTCCCCACTACACCTAAAGCAATTCCCAAACCAGCCAGGTTGATGCGGTAAATCTTAGCAACTGGAGTCTCAGGTCGAAAACCGCAGACAGGTAGTTTTAGTGGTGCTAAATCTAAAGCAATTTCCAAACCGGCTAGATTTGTCATGGTCAGTTTTAGAGAGTTGAACCTCAAGTCAAACATAGTACAGATAGTTGTGAAGCGAGGTACACAAACCCCGCTCATTTGCCAAGATGAAAGTTAAACAAAGACACTCCTAGGCTCTAAACTGATCTCTAAAACAGGACTGCTGAAAGTACGAATTCTTGCGGCGCCTTACCTTGAAGCTGATATGAATTTAAAGATGCGTATAGTGGTGAGGAGATAGCCCAGTGCCAGCAGTATCCACTGTGAACGCAGGTCCAGTGCTCGCAGCGGCACAATGGCTAGAATGAGAAAGATCGAACTCAGCTGGATGTAATTATAGAACTCGCCAAGATATTTTAATCTGCAGCAACACCATGCACAGGAACAGAAAGCACGTTTAATAGTCTTTCAAAAAGTAGCAGCTGTAGTGACCGTACAGAGCGGCGTACACAGAGGCACACAATGAAAACCTTGGGCAAATTCCGAGTCACGCGAGAAACTCTGAGTCTCAACGGAATTTGCCCAAGGTTTTCATTGTGTGCCTTTGTGTATTTTTATTTTTTATACTACAGCCCTACTGGAAAAGATGTGGAGAACAAAAGGAAACAAGAACAAGGACAAAACATAGGGTTTTTGCTCGCTGTTCACGGCACCGATGCTATGTAGAGCTGGGCAACACCACCCAGGAAACATTGAGGTAGCCATTGCATTCGCTGCCTTGACATCACCACCTGCCAGACACTGTTCTTGGCTCCAGACATGCACGTACATGTGTGCACATCTCTACAGAAACACAACTACTGGCACACAGATCTAATATCTAGTTCACGAGATGGTGCAACAATGTATACAGCATCATGTAGTAGTAGACTGTTCTTCTCCCTCCTTAACCTATTATTCAACTCTTTAACTCTCAATTGGGCTTGTGATTTCAAATATAGAATACGAACATTTACAGATACAAGGTGTCATAAACAAAGGGAGACAAGATCAGGACCGGTCTCCCAATGATCATCAAACTCTGAACAGGTGATTCTCAAAAACATCCTGAAACCCCACAACACCAAGGGTACATTCCACGACCGTACCGTTTTTCAAACAACTCCACGATTTCACCGAGCAAGAAGAAGGCCACGACAAGGAGCACGATTGCCTCGCAAACAGCTCGTGCATAATCAACCGGCTGGTTATACTCTTGGGGGTTGAGTTTGTCAACAGCGAAGACGTCAGCTAGCGTGAAAAGAACAATGAAGACGAGGAAGTTCAATGTCGACACCCTGTGAAAAGACGAGGGAAAGGATCACGCAATGAATAGCCAAAACGAACTTTAAGAAACTCCTATGTTCAGTATTGACGTGCACAGTTACTCAGTCTGGTTCAGTGCCCATATGCATACACTGCTATATACTGTACAGGCAGAAATTTCGTCGGTCAATAATTTCGTCCAACTCCAAAGAACGGGAGTTCGTCCGGTTGAAAATTTCGTCCATGGATCATAAGAGTGTATAGAAAAGCTGGACAAATCAACATTAGTCCGGCATTTAATTTCGTCCAAAAACTTCCTGGACGAAAAGACGAAATTAAATTCCAGGCGAATATTTGTGCTTATACTGTACATACTAGCATCTTGTACTCTTTGTATCCCTATCCGTATTTCCACTAGTAGTTCACCTTCACTGCACTCTACAAACTCACACTGTATGGTATGCATACACACAATTTACACTGTTTGTAGGCATCATGCTACTGAGCTTTCCTGAGCTGCAGGAGTTGCTTGTCGTTTGGAACAAAGAAAGGGAGAAACACTCCATCTGGCATTGTACAACACCAGGATGCAAGACTAGCTGCACAGTACTGGCTGAGTGTATTTACAGCCAGAATGTTGCAAAGCACAACACGTCCCACATGACTCACCACAGCATCTTTTCGCCGTAGGACGACCACTTTGTAAAGAGTAGCATGCGCACAGCCCTGTCCTGACTGAACTCCTGCAATACGGAACACACCGGGGAAATACCACCGAGGCAGAGAGGAGTATGAGAGCCATGCGACAAACCAGAACAGATTGCCAGAGCGATGCATATGTGTGTGTGTGTGTGTCTCTCTCTCTCTCTCTCTCTCTCTCTCTCTCTCTCTCTCTCTCTCTCTCTCTCTCTCTCTCTCTCTCTCTCTCTCTCTCGAACAATCGAGTGGCACATCTCCGTCATGCAGAGGTTGAAACAATTGAAGTGATGAAGTGATGTAAATTTAACTCGGGTGGAGAGCCAAGGATTAAAAAAAATTTCTTAAAGAGAGGACCATAAGTTTACAAGTTATCCGTTTATTAGCAGGATAATGGTGAGTCAAAATGTGCAACAATTAGCACAAAACTGACTGATGTGATAGTGACATTCAACGACCTGATGCATAACTTATAACCTTCCAAGTTTGAAAGCTGCTGGTTTGCACATTTCAGACGTGATGCAGCTAAGCATCAGGTCGTTGAATGTCACTATCACATCAGCCAGTTTTGTTGTTGCACATTTCGACTCACCATTATCATGCTTATAGTCGTTAGCGTTGGACAAAACGGATAACTTTAGCTTATATAAGGTCCCCTCTTTTTTTGAAATGATGTAAGCAAATAGTTTATGTGTCATGCTCAGTTCATGCTTTGGTCCTACTCGTGCCCTGTTTCAATTTCTGCAGGGGAGTTTGGAAATATGAACACCACTCGGTCTCGACAACCATACCATGTGGTTTCTTTGCTGCGAACACCGTTTTCACCAGTGACAAAGGAAATAAGGTCGCAGCGAAAGGACAATGCAGTATGACTGTAGAGACTGGATATGTATATTGCTGCATTGAATTGCGTGAAGACGTGTATGATGCGGAAGTAAACCTACATTTGCCAGCTTCGCTCTCTTCAGGATGTTCAGAAAGCAGCTGTTGTTGCCGCTGAAGCCGTACGTGTCGGGTGTGAGGCCGTTTGTGTCGGACTCCAGCGCCGTGTAGTGAAAGTCAAAGCCACGACCTTGCTCCTCTTCTGGCCAGGCATCGATCATGCGATCCATCACGGCATGCGTTACGTCCTGTAAAGAAGAAATGGTGATAATAGAGAGGTTCCGCATAACGTAATTACGTTAGTAAAAAACGTAGTCGATCTACGGAAAGTCTTACGTAAACAGCATGCGCATCTGTGTTCCGCCATACGGAGTTTTCAAATCATGTAGCTGCCCTTGGCAACTCCAAACGCGGCAGTGTACGACCAGATCGACCTGGGGAGAGAGTCATAAATTTGTACCCCAATCCACTTACGGACCAGCTACGTTATCAGAGCCCTATCTACGTACTCTACGTAGACAACTTTCCGTAAGTGGAGAGCAAACTCGCAAATTCACGGGCTTTTCCCGCCCCCTAACGTAAAGTTGCTCAACTTTACGTAGTGCGGAACCTCTCTAATGAGGCTCAGCAATACACAATGGCCAAACTATGACTGCGTTTGCTGAAGGCATCACGCTCAGTCCTGTCAAGCCAAGTAAGCCACGTTGCAAAGCTCAGGCAGAGCATCAAATATCAGCCTTGCCTGCCAGCATTCTTGATTGCCACAGCTCTAGCCTGTAAACCCCTGCCTGGCCTTACCTTCATTTCTAGGTTGTTCATCAGTGCGTAGAACGGTCTCTTCTTGCCTTCAAACACCTCTCTGACACTGCAAAAACAGAAGTGCTTAAAATGCTGATCGATCTCATTTGAGCCCATGTTTGGCATAGTGCTGTGTGCTACACAACCATAGCACAATGTACACACACACACGCACGCACGCACGCACGCACGCACGCACACACACACACACACACACTATCCTGTGCACTCAAACGCGGCAATACTTCATTTATTGGGTCGAAATTCACTGCCTGGTACCGTATTTCCGCGCATATAAGCCCATGGGCCTATATCCGGATATAAGCCCACCTCCGTTTATAGGCCCATGGGCTAATAAACAGACCCAAACACCGTTACGGAACCGATAGTACAGCATGTCAGTGCAGACTTCATTACCAGTACCGGTACCTACGGTAGGCGGACAACCGCGCACGGACGTGTACTTTTTCGCGTGCCAGCTGCCTCCAAAATTCGAATATAGGCCCAGGGCTAAAACGAACCATTATTACTGATTTTTTTTCGGGAAAATGCATTATTTCATATATTAGCCCATGGGCTTATATGCGCGGAACTACGTTAACTTGGAAAGGAACTTTTAAAGTTGGTGACGGAACAGGGCAGCAATCAGTACAACAATGTTCTTGTCTGACCAAACTAACCAGCCGATAACCACCTGCTAGACGATGTCCCTCCCTGGTTTGGCAAGGATTGATTGCGGCATGGTATTGTTTCAAAGGTTACAGGTGTGACCAAGAGTATCATATTATAAGCTCCCTAGAGTGTGGACCTCCTGATACCCTTTACCCATCCATCCATCCATCCATCCATCCATCCATCCATCCACCCATCCATCCATCCATCCATTTCTATCTATCTCATTCCCTTCCTGTATACCCCCTCCTCCCCATTCTCATCTTCCCCCTCGAACTCTCTCTCCCCCCCCCCCCCCCTCCCCGGATCATCACTCACTTGCTGTTGGGCATTTTCTCCATAATCAGTATACTAGTGTCGGGAAGTTGTGCATCGAGGGCTAATTCCAGCGCATTAAGCCCATCGCCATCCTTTACCTGTAGCCAGAGAACAGCAAGACATACCAACATTGCTTCGATTTTCTCAGACACAGCACACAATCTATTCAGATTCAAACACGGTCTCTTTATCTGCACTTGAAACATGGAATTATTGGGCTTTCCAGGGTGCTATCTGGATAGAACATGTGATACTCTGTGTGTGCTGACTGTCATATCGAAGCCTAGGGGAGTTCCCATTCCAAATTGTGACTCGACATGACACGAATCAGAAATAGTGTTAGTCATGTGATATTTAATGGTTCGCTCTACACATGATATCATGCTGAACTTATATTATGGTACCCCGTATCCATTGGTGTTTCTTTGTAATGTTTGAAGCGTTTACCTTCATACCTTTACATGTGACTTGTCCCATAAACAGAATGTCCTCTTGCTTCCCCGTAGACTGTTATCTGGAGTTCTGCTATCACATAGGTTATCTTCTTCCCGTCGTTCCTTTGTGCATTGGGAAATTAAGTCTGCAGTTCATAAACTATTTAGAATCTTACCAAGTACAATCTTGCAACCTACTCACCATCCACACGAGTGGGTCATTGTCAAAGATGACCTCTAAGGTGCAGGTATACGCCAGCACAGCACACTGATGCAGGCAAGTTTGCCCGGATACGTGGTCCGTGGCCCTTGCCGAGGCGTCGTGCGCCTTCAACAAACCCTTCACAATGGTGGATGTCTGCATGGTTCAGAAACACAGGGGCGGACACAATCAAGAAGAGAGCATGTTAGGTATGGCACATCTGGCTGCGGCCAACTACTCCTCAATTTGTGTGTTGTCACTATTGCTGTCTATGTCTCTGTGGGTGCCAGTATATGTGGAGCGAGAACAGCAATACGGGGGTGGATAGAATCAAGAAGAGAGCATAGAAGGGATGGAATATCAAAGTGAAAATTTGTGCGCTGCCGTAAATCACAGCTTTATTTTTTTACAAGCTGGTATATTCACGATTCCAGTGACCAAAGAAGTAATACTATATTAATAATCAATGGCTGGTGTGATAGGCGCGTGTAGCTCACCAGATTGTCTGCAAGCCACTTCTGCGAGGTTAGCCTCAGCAGAGCAGTGTCAGCACTTCCAAAGTTCTTGGCCAGCCAGCCACCAAATATGCTGCCCTCGGCCTCGCCGCGATCCAGAATCTCCTCCGGCGGTAGAGCGGTTTCTTCCTGCCATTTCAGACGCTTGTCGACCTGCCATCACACACAGCATTGTACAGTAAGCACACAGCAAAGTGTTACAGAGCATTTCCGGTATGCACTGTATGCTTGTCAGAGCAACTCCGCAAAAGAACAGATAGCCTAGGCCAGTGAAATGAAACCACAAGTGCACTTCGAGCCGTACATTTAAACGCAATGTGAAACACAACTCCTTAATTTATGGGATGTGAGTAGATCAGACCCGCCACAAAGTAGTCAAAACGCGAAATCGCAACCAATCCGCTGCGTCTATGTTATCTGTTCTCTGCTACAATCTATATGTATGCTATGCTACACCCACATAAGATGTATAAGAGCAGCTAGGGTATACTGCTGTACATTAATAATAACACAGAGCCCTTTCCAGGCTTGTGAGCAAACAGTACAATACTTCAGCCACACCCCAGTGAAAACAATACTTTAGCCACACCCCAGTGCGAACAGGAATACATGTACTGTAAAACCCGTCTACTTGAAGACGACCGCTCAAGGAACCTTCAAAATGTGGTCTCTGTTACCAGGTCACGGTCTCCTTATCCAGGGTCATCTGACTGGAAATAGCATTCCTTGGTGCGGTGGTCTCCTGGGACAGGTGGTCGCCTCATCCCAACAGGTTTTCCTGTTGCTAGACCCTCTGTGGCAAGCAATAATGCAAGCTCATGTGTATACTGATCAAGGGGAGGGGAAGGTGGTGGCCATTAGAATACTACATTGCAGGCACACTGCTCCTTTCTCATACATTGAGCCCTAGGCCACAGCTTAATACTTTTAAGTACTTTGAAGAACAAAGCATTCCAATTAATCAATATTCATTACCATTGCTTTCTCAACTAGTTGCCCAAATTATTTTTACTTTGGGAATGACCTAGAGAATGCATACCAAGGAGTCATCCAACTCTGCCCAATAAGACATGATAGAATACAGCAAGACAAAATCAATACATCCCCTGCGATCAATGCCAGTCTGTACTCCAGCAACAAAAACACTCCTACTGCATTTAGATCAATGATAGAGAGTTGAGAGCAGCAACAATAGCTGTGGAGTAGCTGGATCAGCTGGCCCCGTACTGGCTAGCCTAGCCACCACGATAGCCGGTCATCAGGACTACAAAGGCATTACTCCAGTTGTCTGAAGTGCAACCAAGTGGCCCTCAGCTCCCCTATAAGGCTACAATACCAAACACAAAGGGGCTAATTGCAAGGTGCAAATCAATGATTGACTGCAGCCTGCGCAGCTGAACACTCGCATCATTAATTAATGGGGAGACCAGCACCCGCCCAAGGTGTAGGTACTTTTTACAGCAAACTACAAGGCATTCCCAGATGATATCATGCGGCCAATTATTTAAAACACCCAAACGGTGTACGTGTTACTACTGGGTACTCGACAAAATTAATGCACATTGATCAGCACCTTCAACAGCCTGCATGCTGCACTTGAACTACTACGAGTCGTACTAGTACCAAGTAGCAAAGCTAAAGACACAGCCCTGTTTCATCTGCAACCCCTGCACTGCAGGATCTACTAGTGTAGTATGGCTCCTTTATAACACATAATTTGTAAACACATAAATAGTACACCGTAGGAATGCATCATTGCATGGGTAGCTGTGCGCATATTCGCACTGCCTTGGTCTTCTTCTTCTCCATGGGAGAAAATGAACCCTGATGATAACTTACTTGCATAACTACAAGTATGTGCTTTGAGAGCCTCGGTCTTGAGTGCTGAGAGTATACTTTGAAGTACGTCCTACCCTAGTATGCCCAACAACCCCACAAATACCACCCAAGTATGGGTTTTGCTCATATAGCAATACTTTAGCATAAATTACAAAAAAAAGGTGAAAAACTAATGGCTGTGAAAACAGTCTAATATGGAGGGATTACAAAAATCGGGTGAAGAACCAAGAAATCATAACAAACATATAGCAATACTACTACTAATCATCACTACATGAAGGTGTGCCTGGGAGTACTGACAGGTTGTGACCCCTTAAGCCCTGGTCTACAGAATAGGTTGCTAGGTTACCTGGAGCCAACCACCAACGGCCTGCTAGTGTCACAAGAAGGTTTTGAGCAAGCCCGGGCCAGGGTGAATTATTAACAGGACTGGCTGGCTCAGAGGTATTTGACCTTGTCTATCGCTGGTGATTTTCAGTTTGCAGATGCCATGCCCTCAGACTAAACTGATTACCAGACTGACACAATAAACAGGAGATGCGGCGGCAACAGGGGAGGCTGCACATTGAGGTCAGAGGAATGCCCATATAGACAGCATATGTATGGGCATAGTAGCCACTGTGGCTTATTACCATGCTTGCAGAGTGTACAGTCTTTCTCAAGGGAATGTCCTTTCACAGGTAAAACAGGTAACTTACATAAAGTGCTTATCTCAGTGTGGATGTAATCCTAATCTTTGCTATATTCCAGACTCCATGCACAGTCGAATCCTAAGTTTGGCCATGCTCCCCCCCCCCCCCCCCCACACACACACCATCTTCATGATACTGTCACCTGCAAACACCAATGTGCTGAGAATGTCCCTGGCAGTGCCAGTGCCAGTGCCAGCGCCAGTGCCAGTGGCTATAGTCAACAGGTACTAGTAGTAGTAGAGCCATCAGTTACTAAACGTATACTCCGCTTGGATACAGGACACACGCAGGTGTCAGTGCTATTGCAGCACTGAGAGACTTCCTACCTGCCAGCCGCCGAAGGGCAGAATGCAACTGGAACATATACACTGAGCTGAATGTGATACATACATCTACTAGTGTAAAGTGAGGCTTGCTGCAGGATATGCTGCCGGGCAGTACCAGCTGTCCAACACTGATATCCCATACTACGTGTAGCTGTGGGGCATTGGACAACTAACTTTACTGACAGTATGGTCACGGGAACAGATCTCAGACTTGCGGGTTGGACATCCCCCTCAAGTCCTGACAAGCTGACAGTTTGCAGTATGTGTGTGTGTGTTGTTTGGGTGATGGTTAATGGATGGTCACATTGCCATGGACTGTAAGTTAGTTGTTTTCCGACACAGAATGTATACAATAGCATTGTAGTAAGTCACCCTCTACCTGTATAGACCCCCACGACCCCACCTGTGAGGACAATCACCAAAGAACAGCGTCATGCACATGTGTCATGCAGGCGCAGACGGCTCGCCAAGTATTACGTACGGCGGAAAAATTGTCTGAGTGTCTCCTGTTCTCGCCTACGTCATTGTCCCTGGCATGTGTAGTCGTGGCAACCTGAATGCAAGGAATTCATTCCCGTCCTCCACATAGTTTCTCCCTAAAATAAAAACCCGCTTGCCACACAGCGCTGTTGTTTGTGCACACAATACAATACCACCCTGCTGACAATCAAGTCATAATGACATTCTAAGCACAAGACGGTGTGTGTAACCTGCGTGGCATGTTTACCCTGTAACATAGACATTCTTAGATCACATCATATGGCAGAGTACTATTATGAATCAAGGAGGGAGGAACTGAGAACTGCATTATTAAACTTTAATAGTTGTATCTGCTCCTACTCAGTCGAAGTGCTTCGCACTGGGCACCCAGTATACAAGGCTACTCCATCCCAGCACATCTTTATGAGCAATGGTGTCATCTCTCTTTCTCTCTTTCTCTCTCACAGTCACAAGATATGAGAGGTCATGTTAGCTTTTAAAATTACTTCTCGAAGGAATTGACGTATTTCACAGGGATACCAGTGAAAATGAGAACTGATGGTTTTGGCAACGTACTGTGTCAGCTGTTTCGTTACGCTATATTAGTACAGGGTCACGATCCCACTCCCAGAATGTCATGGCATCATGCAGCCTGTGCAGGTCCTAGAAGCCCAACCGGAAAGACCAGGTCTACCTCGTCTAAGCTCAACGTGATAGTAAGCATGCACGCACGCGCATGTGTCTGTACACAACTAAATCATAGTCACGTTGCAGTACATACAATGAGTCTACAGTATGTACTCCCAAGTCAAGCCCCAACTCTTACTGACATTGCTATTTTAGGCATGTGTGGCCACTACACACACACAGGACTTCAATGATATCACCACTCTACATTATTGATGAGTATTGGTGAACTTTGCACTACATGAACAAGTCCAATGTGCACTGCAGTCTGCAGTACATAATTCATTATGATTCGTCCTGACTCTGTGCTAGCTGTACACCAGTCTTCTGACCCCATGGTCGGAAACAGGTGATCACACTTTAGAGTTTAGTGACTTCACTCTTCAGTTAAAATTTTAGTGCTGCAGTACTCCAAAATGCACGCCCCATTTACTGGCAACATCATGAGCAGCGTGACACGACTAGGGAACGCAACAGTTACTACATCACACACCAGTAACGCTACGCGGCTAGCTGGAACGGAATGTAGGCCACCAGTATGCGCCGATCGCACGTCACTGTCTGTGCCATCGTCCCTCTCCAGCGCACCCAGTCACTGCTCCCCTTGGCCTCGACCTGGGCTTGGGAACAGTAAAGCTGTCAACTTCCTTTCTGCAGTTCACCCGTCGCTACGCAGATGTATAAAACATGATCCCCGGTACCAAACGAGAGACTAGGGCACAACGAACCTGAATACGTTTTCGAAGAGCGCCAGGAAAGAAACGGTCATGGCAAAGTAATTTAGTTACTCAACTCACTGCCTCTGAAAAAAGGGAAATCATTCTGAAACACAACACGCTCACAACGCCTGTTACACCCTTGTAGCACACTTCAAAACACGTCACCGAAACGCTCGTGGTTCGCCACTAATCCGATATTCTGTTACTAGTTGTGGTACGCCAGTCACAGTTTGAGCAGTTTTTCCCCCGTGGTTCAAACCAACACCTGTCAACATCCGACATAAATTAGGTCAAAATGTCACAATCGTAATGCAATCATTTCCGAACCCTAATCGAACATCAGGCTACAATCGGACTCGGAAAGTTCCTTCAGTTCCTTTGTCCCATTTACAAGAGAAAACATACATCGTCATCCTGGTCATCGTCTCACCTCAGCAGCAAACGCCACATTGTCCTTCGTGCCAGGCGCCTTCACGCTCTCGTAGAACGCACGAATATCCAGTTGACCCTCGCTGACCACCAGCTTGGGAGCGTCGGCAGCCATCACAGCACCGTTGGCATTCCGTCCAGGACCCGAAGTACCACTGTTTCCTGAGTGATGCGAGTTCAAGCTGGCCTGCGAACCACCGTGACTGCAGCGATGCGAGTGACGGTCCGCTGCCAGGCCCAGGGTGTCCATTTCGAGAACGACTGCAGTGGTCGCTGCGGCTTGTGCACCCGACATCTTGCAGCGCGATCACGAATGTGCTTTGTGTAGGGCACAAGGTTTTGTCAGGGAAACAACCTGCAGTTGGTCGTCTATCCAGAGTCAGGACCAGCAATCATTCTTGTACGATAGTGAACTATGAGTATGACCGTTGTTAGACCTCCTTCCACCACCTACCTACTACTAGTACTATTCCCTGACACAGTCTCGCACAACATGCAACACCAAACTCCAAAGGCAAAGCGTGCCGAAACACAACGGTCAGTGAGTTATTGACTGTACACGCGGATCAGCTGGCTCAGTTCACCCTTTCCACTGCATGGAGCCAGTGGAGATACTACTAGTAAAGGGATCAATGAGATTGGAACGTGGATCTACTACACATGCACATGGAGCTACGGAGCGTCCTTGCCACGTGCGATTGTCCGTTGTTGCTGGCTAGGCTGTACTGACAAAGACAAGTGTAGACTGTAGACAGTGTAGTGTCGCTTTGTTGGAAAGCGGCACAGTCATACACAACTGACAAGCAAGGCCGCGCGAGCGCGTGCCAGTTCTGCTCTTGCCAGCGCAGCGATCGTGAACGGAGCCTACAAGTACAACAAGTACTCTGCATGTGCCAGACGGCCCAGCAGAGGCAGGCGGGTCGACAGTCACGTCAGTAGGGACAGTAGAGTAGAGATGCGTGCCTAGCAGTAGGCAGCGGTAGCCACTGCCCCTGGGCCTGGCCTACTCAGTGCTCACTCTCAGACTCACCGCGGTGTGGAAGTGGCCAAGGACAGGGTGACATGATGGAGTCGTGAAGCAGACGCTTCGGCCAGTTCGGGGTCAATCCACGTGCTCGCACTCTGGCACTTGCGGAACGATGGCACAAGTGCGCTGGTAGATCTAAATGGTGTCGTGATCGTGGTGGAATACTGCATGCCGTCACTGAGGACTCGGTGCGCCGATGGGCGATACTGCCGATACTTCCGGCGATAGCCATGCTAGCTAGAGACGATGATCGATGCTAGCTGAGCATGGCATCCTCATGTCGTCATGACTCTTCTCCTGCCAGGAAAACCTGTGATGACATGCTGCATGTGAAGACTTCTGGAATGAGAACATTCCGGGCCAGGCTGAGGGATAGCCCTTTCAAAGATGCATGCCATTCGCAACGGTGCCAAAATAAGTTGTTGGCATCGCATCCATATTTTCAGAAAAATCTCAAAAGTAAGTAAGTTAGTTGTCAACATCGCAACTACTTGAAAGGGGAGAGTTCTTGTGCATACAATGATGCCAGGACAACCAAAAAAATGAGCTGAAACAATGTTGCGGAAGTGCGGAGACAGCAAACTCTTTACGCCTTCCTGTAGATTTACAGTCTACTCGCGATACACGTACACGTAAGTCGCGCACCAGGTCTTGAAGACAAAAATGCGTGACTTATCGCGAGTGCGCGACTTACACAATACGTGTACATGTATGGGTACGTGTCTGCTGTGAACTACAACGCTACTTGTACAGTCATGACTCATGTTACATGTATCCGTAATTTGTGTCCAACACTAACAGTTACATTGTATAACTATAAGCAAGATATTGTGTAGTCAGCAGGTGCAACAGCTACATGTAGCACTGACTGATGTGATACTGACATTCAACGATCTGATGATAAGCTCTATCACGTTTTGGATGTGCTGACCAACAGCCTGCCAACTTGGAAGGTTGTAAGTAAGTTATGAAAAAGGGGAAGGTGAGCGCACTCAAGACGAAAACAAGCTAAACATCACGGCAAACTAAGAATGTTAGCTTTGACGAGATGGTGACGTGGTCCTTCGTCTTTCGCCACCATCTCGTCAAAGCTAAAATTCTTAGTTTTACGAGAAACAACGAACCTCGAGAACAGAATACTGCATGATAGAGGTGGTTGCAGACGCAGCTGTGGTGGTGAAACTGGAGCATCTCCGCCGACCTGAGGTCTCGGCTTCAGCGACACTTCAGTGCACCAAAAAGTGGGGAGGAGTAGGCACAGGGGAGGGGAGGAAGGAGTACATTAATTTTGTATAGAGGGTGGAAATGGAAAGATGATACATGTGATAGAGTAAAAAGAAGGGGAGCCAGGGTGCAAGTGGAAAGGGTGTTCAGGGAGGGTTCAGAGGGCATCTGTGGCTGAGTGCCAGTCTCGACTGCGGAGAGACTTGTAGGCGCCTTCCTTGAATGCCTGCATTCCCTTCTGCGTGGGAAGGATGCGTAGCAGGGCAGATGGGAGACGATTCCAGTCTTGGATCGTGGCATGAGGGAATGATCGGAGAGCACTATTACGGGCTCTGGCGGGCGGTGTCGGTGCTAGTTGGTGCTGGTGCTGCTCCTCTTGTTGTTGTTGTTGTTGTTGTTGTTGTTGTTGTTGTTGTTGTTGTTGTTGTTGTTGTTGTTGTTGTTGTTGTTGTTGTTGTTGTTGTTGTTGTTGTTGTTGTTGTTGTTGTTGTTGTTGTTGTTGTTGTTGTTGTTGTTGTTGTTGTTGTTGTTGTTGTTGTTGTTGTTGTGGTTGTTGTCGTCGTGTTTATTTTAAGTCGCAAACCAAACGGGCAGATCTGCCCAATGAAAAGGTGGCGAATGCAGATAGAAAGCAGTAATTAATGAAATTGGGTAGGGATGTAATAAGGATACAGAGGGATGTAATAAGGATAGAGAGGGATGTAATAAGGATAGAGAGGGATGTAATAAAGATAGAGGTGGATGTAATAAGGATAGAGAGGGATGTAATAAGGATAGAGAGGGATGTAATAAGGATAGAGAGGGATGTAATAAGGATAGAGAGGGATGTAATAGGGATAGAGAGGGATGTAATAAGGATAGAGAGGGATGTAATAGGGATAGAGGTGGAGAGAATCGGCCAGGGTTTACTACGATGTTTAGCTTGGTTTCGTCTTGAGTGCGCTCACCTTCCCCTTTCTCATGTTACTGCATACTACATGTACTGTAGTAGCTTAGAACCTTCCAAGTACTAATAGTTGTCTAATGCAGTGTCACCCGTTGACACAGAGCTCACCACTCAGCTCTATCCGCTGCAATCTGCCTGATTCTGTGTAATTCCCCGAACTACTCAGCTTTCCGGCATCCGCTGCCTCCAAGTCAGCAGATAATGTACCCGGTAGGCTTGGCCCTCGGCCGTCCTCTCCAGCCCTTCGGGTCCTTGCTAGCGTGATAGTTGATCATTGATTGGTCGGCTGGTGTGCTAGAGGACAGTCGGAGGACGTGTCGGAATAGCTTCCATCGCAATGATCTTGATGGTGTGACTGATCGACTTGATTTCGCATCGAGCGTATAGTGCGTTGTTCGATATTGTCAGAGGCCACCTGATGCTTATAAGCGACCTCAGTTGACGCCAATGGAAAGAGTCCAGTCGCTTCTGAGCTGTCTTGGTAATCTCCCACGTACCAGAGTTGTAAAGCAGTACAGGGATGATAAAGGTCTGATAGCCGCAGGCGAAACTTTTCGCAGACTTGCTGGCTTCGTTTCCAAAGGTTCCACAGGCCCCGAAAGGCAGCTGTCGCCAGTTGTTTCCTCCTCAGTACATCCTCGTCGTCACCAATCAGACTTCCAAGTTTTTGTGTCCACCTCCATTCTTCTTTGTTGCGATCATTGAGTCTAGTGATTTCTGTGTACTCCGTTTTGTCATGATTCATGTTGAGCGACCATTGCACCAGGGTAGAACTTGCTGTAGCTTCTAGCTCAGCGAGCCACCACCGACTGGTGCTTACAAAGTCTGTGTCATCAGCATAGACGAGCTCAAACTGCAGGTGAAGATCAGATCATGGGGCCTGGGAGCTGCTTCCTTTCTCAGTTGCCGTAATGCTGCTTCTGTGAATATGGATCGAGTACTATCGCTGCGTGCAATATTTCTCTCCCTTGAAATTGCTTCCATCATTGTTTTGCTACATATAGGTGGGTATTAGGCGCCCTGCGCGAGGTTTTTTTTTAAGTAATCAGGGAGGACTTACATGTACATGTAGATGTAGATCATGGCAATGGGAAATTCCCTTGCCAACCGGATTATGCTACGACTACGATGCGCGGTGGACTGAGGTAGCTTGATAAACTAAAAGAATCATCGGGACCGTGCTGTCGAGAAAAGACGACGAGATGATGTGATGTATTATTGAAGGCGCGATTGGAAAGACGAACTACACGTAGACTGCAATGGGCTGCAAACAACCTTCACGACTAGAGGCTTGGCATGGTCGTTTAGCTCACCGCTCAACGATCTGGCTGAAGGATCGATCACTCCGCATGCAACACAGACTCCACAAGAACATGACCTGTGTACTGTTGCGGACATGGAAATCCGGTCGCACGTCTAGCGGCCCCAGGGCGCTGACCATGCAGCCGTGCATAAGCGGTACACAGATGCATTTTATGCGCTGCAGCGCGCTAGTCGCATGGGATCAACATGTGCCCTGCACGCAGCGTTCTGTACGCGCTGAGGGCGCCGGCCCCGGTCAATCGACCGGATTTCCATGTCCACGACAGTAGCATACAGCACAGCGTACAGACCGGGCACATGTGCAAACCGAAGTACATGATTGTACTAATCTGGACCTTAGTGGTCACACCGGCAGGGTGTCCAATGGCAAAGATGCCAGAACTGGGCTCAGGAGATCACATGTGGTAAGGATTGCAATTCCAGTGCGCGACACACAGACATTCAGCACGCACGTAACCTTAACAATATGTGCCGGTAAAGGTTCCTAATACAGTATGGTCAATGTTTGCGTTGAGTGCTAAAATAAGACAAACTAGAGATGTAGAAAGTAGTTTCAAAGTACCGTCACATTTTGTGCTACGTGCGGAGTACAATATTTGTAAATGGCCAAGCAACAGATACAGTAGCGGTAATTCGACTTGTCATACGAATTTGCCAACAGGACGTCGGCCTCTGGAGTTATGATTCACCCAGAGACTTCCGCTGCACCTTCAGGTAACCGTCTTCGTTGCCAAAAGCGTACACATTGTTGGAGTTATCGGCGGTCAGCATCTGTGGTGCAAAGTCAAAGGTCACACCACCCTTGACGATCTTACCGGTGTGAGCATCGAGCAGAGCAATGGAGTGTACTCCGCCATTGACGACCAGAACAGCGAGGTTACCAGTGGGTAGTGGTATGGGATAACGTGGTGCCCAGGGCTGAGCGGACACAGGGATGCTGCCACCAAACTCACTAGCAGCGATGCTCCACAGCACTTCGCCAGACTCCGGGCTCAGACCCTTGATGTATTGGCCGTTGCCGGCAAACAATACATCCTCCGCGTCGCTCAGAACCAGAAATGTCGGATAGCCCGACCCCGACACAGACCATTTCTGTTTGCCGTTGGCGTCATAGGCGTTCAGGTTTCCGCACAATGCGAATGCGTTTCCCTTCGTATCCGACGCCATCACCCATGGTCTTGTGTTGCAACCGGACACGAAATAGTCCTGCTTCAGATGAGATGTGAGAGGCAGGGCAAACTTGAAGATGCCTGTGGCGTGATTGAAGAAGCCGTTGTTATAAATCGTCTGACCATCAGCGCCGAAGATGATTGTCGACGTGTCCGATGTCCTGACGTAACTGCTTGCATCAACTTCATGTCTGGTAAGACTGACCCCAGCATTGGCGTCAAGTGCAGCCCAGATGATCTGCTGTGGCTCGGTGTTTGTAATCTGCAGCAGCATAGGTTCAGTGCTATCGTCAGAGTACACATCCAGCACTTTGTCAGACTCAGCGTCCAGGAGTGCGATGGGTGTAGATCCCTTTCCTGTTTTACCCGCATACAGTGCAATGAACGGGTAGCCATCGTTGGTGTAACGAACGACAGAGTTGAAACAGGCTGAGTACTCGCTCAGGTCATAAATACGAACAGTCTTTCCCGTGTTGCCGTCAATCTCCCAGATCATTGGTGGGGTCCACCTGCGGTTGGCTCCGCCAGCTGGGAACTCGGAACTTCCTGGGTACGAGGTTGCCCCGAGGATTGGCACATGGATATGGTTGTCTGATGTTCTGTGATTGACTCCGGCTGCCAACACAGGACCTTCTCCGAACGGAACAGAGAACGTAGGGTAGTGGAAGTTCGCCTGGTGGAACTTTGTATCCCAGTCCTTTCCCTTGCCATTAGCTCTCATTCGTGTACTGCCATGTGCAGCCAGTACCCAGTCAGTCATCTGCATGTCGGGTACCGCTGCATGGCTGGTTTTGTTGCGAAACTCGTGATGATGAATCCTGGCACTGCATGCCACTGCCACCAATAGCAGCAGTGTGAGTGAGGCAAACACTGCAGAGAAGATGGGACAAAGTAGAATGATGGATAAATCAGTGACTTGCAGGTGAAGTAGCAAAAGAAGAACATGGTTCGTTCGTCTCACCGAGCCCAGTAACTATTGTTTAGTGCAAACAAACTTGTACCCTGATTGGAAATACACTCACTTAATACAGTACTGATTAGGTGCTAACCTATATCCATACATCTTCACAACACTCCAAACGGTCTCTGGGCTACACAAATCACTGAACGATAACTACAGTGGAGTCTTCGCATCGTGAGACAAAGGTGCTAAATAAATTAGGTCGAAGAATGGGGTAGGGTGCTAGTATGGGGTAGGGTGCTAGTATGGGGTAGGGTGCTAGTATGGGCTCACACCTGGCACTATCACTATAGTAAGAATGGTGGGGGAGTATGGAAAATGTAGAGCCTTTACTGTTTGGAGTCAATGCTCAGTAGGAATGTAGGAATACTCCTAGTATCTGCATGTAGCACCAAATGCCCTGCTATTTGCGAATCACTAGAGGCAAGACACTCAATGACTCATACCAGGGCGCAGGAATCAGTCTTGGGCCGAACGCCCCAAGTCATTCTTGGACTAATCTTGAGTCGGATGTGTCTTTCTATCAGTGTAGTAGCGTTATGGTTCATTGGTCACATTTGGTGATGACCTTAGCCCAAGACACCTCTACGAGTCGTTTTGGTAACCCTGCTCACTGATATCAGTTTGTTCTAATAATTATATCAACACACTATGACTTGTGTGCGCTGTCACTGCGCAATTCTATGTCTTACCTTTCATGGTGTAGTTGTCTAGAAGCGACCTCGGTGAAGCGATACAGAATGGAGTCTAAGAATGTTACTTTCTACCGGCGGCTTCTGGTTGTTAGCCTCTTTAGAACGTGTCTGCTCACTACGTTTGAAGAACTGGTTTCAAACTACACTCTTATTTGAAGGTTCATGCAGTAGTTTATCCCGACCTTCGGCCACTCGGAGGGTCTCTGAGCTGGATGCAGTAGAGATGACTGCATACTGCGGATCAGGTCCTCTCTCCTGCCTTACTGTCGGTCTCACATCACCACAACACCTCATCGTCAGTCAGACAACCCGGTCAAAACCTGATTCACGATCACCTCGATCACATGCCATGCGCCGTCATTCCACGTCAGACCTGGGCAGCTGACCTGTCAAGCGCAGCCTCTTGGCATGTCCATGTCATAAACACCACTGAGCTAGACGCTGCAGCAACCAATTTCCAGTACGGGTATACCTTTTAAAATGTAATAGCATTACATGTATTAGACCTGGTAAATGCATGTACGACTCCCTGTTCAAGACTGCGCTGATGTGGCGATATCAACTTTGCCCTATTTGCGATTCCGGTTCAGGCCACCAGGGGCAGAATAGCATTTTCCAGATCACCAGCAGAGGAGCCTAGCCTGGCCTGGCAGAGGCAGCAAGTGGCATTTGCACCGACTGCCTTCCACTCCAGTGCTGCTGCCGTGCCGATGTGAAAGGGGTGCATCTCTCCATCTACACGCAACACCCGCGGCAATAGAGAAGATTCGCGGACGACAAAGTCAAAGAAGCCTTCCGCAGTGTGGTCATCTGATGATCGATCTTTATAATAGGGCTTGAAAGTGCTACGTCACTCCATAGCAATGGCATAGCAACAATTTGAAAAATTCGAAAACTGGATCCACCTGGATCCAGTTTTTGTATGGATCCAAGCACATTTCAAGCGGTCTCACTCACAGCAAGGTGATGTTGCCAGTGAAACTGACTGATTTGGCTAGTGGGGGCGGGGTGACAACTGGTGGCGAAGTAAAAGTTGCACCTGCATACGACATGAGTGGGTTGCTATGCACCCACATACTGAGGCAATAGCAAAGTCACACCTTAGTGGATCCAAAATAGAAATCTGATGTCAATTTACTACTCCCAGGCCGTTTTTGACGTCATCACTTTCAAGCCCTATTATCCTACCCACCAGACTACCTCGTGTACGTGTACATGCATGTAAAAAAATAATACTAAAAATATAAATGTACATCTACATAATACATACTTGGTTCAGCCGCCTAAAATGTTATGTAGCTGCTATGTACATGATGTACCGGTAGTATACAAGTCATGTCCAGTTTTCAAGAACCAAACCTGTCATGAGTAGAATGGTATGTGTAGGCAACTGACACTACACAGTACACGCTTTCCCCATCGGCACGGAGCCTCACAGATGTAACCTGAATAGGCTGAATCAGTGATTGCTTTTGATTACTTGTGAGAGTTGATCCTGTTGCTGGAGAAGGAACTGGCCGGCGAGTACTATACTAGTACCTATGCAATATCGACTGCTGATGGCACCCATCCGACCAACGTTTTCATTGTTGATGTAAGAACTCAAGCGAGAGGGAAACCCGCGAGCGCACCGTGCACCGCAAGCACACGAAGGTACATGTACAGTGGATCGACTTTGTTTAGGTCAAAGTTTCTGAGTTACAGTATATCGTGCTGCTTGCGAGGCTCCCCGTGACTCGACTCTGCTCACTTAGCTGATCTACAGGGAGCACTAGTAACTGTAGTATGTATGTATCGTAGGTGACCACTGGAACGTGGCTACTTCTACTTGTCTTTAATTGTCCGAGATTGAAGAAACCCGAAGGTGAAAAATACCTTTTCTTTTTACAAAAACAAATATTTTAAATAATTGTGAAGCGAGCAATTACACGCAACCACATGACGTGTAGTTGGGCATGTACATCCCGGTACTGTAGAAATGATTGAAATACATAATGACGTAATGCCAGGCTGTCTGATGTACACATGTACATGTATATGTATATGGCACTAGCTCCACCCGGACGTCCAGGTACCAGGCAGCAGCAGCATCATAGCACCACACACAGGGCTGTAGAAAACGTTTGGCAAGCTGCCTGATCGTATCTACAGTCAACTTCGCTAATAACGACTGCGGATATAACGACAATTCGCGAATAACGACAGAATTTCCATGCCCAGAGCAAAGTCCCATCCCACTGTAATACATAATGAGACTTCGGGTATAACGACACTTCGCGAATAAGGACACCTTTTTGATGCCCCGCCGAGTGTCGTTATAAGCGAAGTTGACTGTATATATATTATGCTTGTAAGGAAATGAAGCGTCCAAACTCATCTTGGAAATGAATGGCCGGGGTATAAGCTGCAATGGTGATAGTCGCCCAGTTATTATGGGGGTGGGGGGGGGGGGGGGTGGTACAGTGCGGCTTAGACCCCGGGTGATACTAAAGGAACATGGTGGGTAGATTGAATGTACATGTACATGCATCGGAAACGCTGGAGACATACAATGTACTTCAAAGTAGGCACGTGCAGGGTCATCGGCCTCTGTCCATGGATATCAATAGTTGTTTTTGCACCGGGAATAATAGAGAGTGGCTTAGTTCTGGCATGTGCGGTGATGACAACACTCAAACTAAAAATAGACAAACCAGTGCCGGTTGGTAGGAAGGTGGATGCTTGATATGTTCTCTGCCGTTTGGACTTGCTAAGGGGTCAGCAATTCCTCTCTTGACTTTGAACATGTTCATGAACATATGCCATAGCATACACCAGAATCCTAATACCATGGTCTGTTCACATCATCTCGTTTGCTCTACAGTCACCATGGAAATGTGTCTACACCTGGTACTATCAGTACTGGCATGTGTGCTAGTGAAGCAATGCGCCGCCACTCACCACCCACGCCAGCATAACCATAGCAGCCAAGTCGGACAGCGTCAGAAGGATATCCAGTTGACTGACTGGGTTCTGGCGGCGCATGGCAGCTCACGCAAACTGGCCAAGGGCACCGGCGACGACTGGAGTTTGACGTTCAACCTGCCCAACTATCACTACCCGGAGTTTGTAAAGCCATTCAGTACCGAGGACATGGCGGCAGGCGTGAATCATCGTACGTCCGACAATCACATTCATATCCCAATACTGGGAAATACCTACCACGTACCGGACCCGGAATTCCCGGCCGGCGGGGAGAAGCATAGGTGGTCGCCGCCGGTCGTCTGGGAGATTGACGGCAACACGGGACAGACACTGCTCGTGTACAATCTCAGTGACTACGCCGATAGCTACACGTCAACGCTGATCTACACGCCGGACGGGTATCCGACGGTGGCCATGCACGGCGGGAAAACTGGCTACGGATCCTCACCCATTCTTATACTGGATAAAGAGTCGGACAAGGTGCTCGACGTTGTCACTGATGACAATACAGAGCCAATGCTGCTGCAGTTAACCAATACCGAGCCACGGCAGTTGATCTGGGCTGCCATGTACGCCAACGCTGGTGTGAATATCGACGGACACACCGTGGACAAGTCTACGTTTGTACGCACCACCGACACTTCGGCAATCATATTCAGCGCCGACGGTAGATCGATATACAACAACGGCTTCTACAACCACGATATGGGCATCTATAAATTCAAGCTGCCGCTGGCTGAGAACTTGACACGTGAGCTGTTCATGGGTGGCTGCGAAACCAACCCATGGCAAATGGCGTCGGACACAGAGGACAACCTGTATGCAATATGCGGTGGTGGGGTCGTGGCATACGATGCAGGCGGTCAGCAGCAGTGGACATACAACACCGGGAGATGGTATGCTCTCATGACCTACCTATTCTTAGTGGACACAGAAAATGTCCTGATAGTAGGCTGTGATATGTACGATCAGAAGCCATTCCTGGCTGGTGTAGACCCCGCTACTGGTAAGGAGCTGTGGTTCAGTAATGGCACCGACTACGGCGGTAACGTCACCATTTCCGCTCAGCCCTGGGCACCTCGCTTTCCCATCCCCCTTGCTAATGGCAATCTTGCTATACTAATCAGTAACAACGGAGTCAGCTCTGTCGTTCTCCTCGACTCGCGCACCGGAAAGGTTGTCAAGGGTGGCGTGATGTTTGACTTCACGCCGCAGATGTTAACGGCAGACAGCTCGAACAACGTGTATGCTTTCGGTGAGGAATACGGCTACCTCAAGGCACAGCGTAAGGCACTGGGTGGTGGAAAATACTGAGGTCAAGCTGCATACTCTGCTCAGGTGGCAATATGGTGTGTTGCACTACTAGTGTCCATGCAGTACTTCACACTGCAACCAGTATATCCGGTCGTGTTCTTGCTTTCTGTCCTTCTGATGACGCAGTACATGTGTGCACGCAAATATTATACTTCAATTTTTTGAATTATTATTATTCACACATATCCGCCGGATGAGTACGCGTGGCCCATGCACCATGGGGACCCACGAATACAAACTAGCATATGTTCCCTCAGCAATACAAGCAAGCAAGCAAGCAAAGATAAATGAGAGCCCAGGCAGCGAAAACAAAACGAAGAGAGATGAGGACATATGCACCGAAAACAGTTCCAAAGCGTAGCCAGGGATTGAATGTGTGCATCTGGGTACGACAGTTAATACGGCTAGTGCAGCCGTACAGAGCGCAGCAGCAGCACGAAAATACAAAAGTGCCACAGCAGCAGCCAAGAGTGTGCAAACACTAAAAAAGAAGATCAGTCCATGAAAAAATTATTGTCACCACAGGTAGACATTTCCGGCAAGAATGCATGCGTGCACACAAGTAGCAGCTCTATATTTTCACGTTTATCCTGTCACATTATGTGCACAATAAATTCAGATTTCTACATCATCTTGAAAGTTCTTCTTCACAAACCCTATTGCAGCTTTATACCGGTAAGTAATTTCCTCTATTTCCGTTATTGAATATTTTCTCAGCAGCAATGTTTGGTTATCCCTGCTTTCATTGTGTAGCTTCTGGAAACTGTATTTTATCAAGTAGGTAGCCTGTACTGACCCACGTCCAAAGACACCGTGGATCATGTAAATCTTCAATGAGGTCCCAGCCTTGAATAATGTAAATCTTCTATGAATCATGTAAATCTTCAATGAGGTCCCAGCCTTGAATAATGTAAATCTTCTATGAATCATGTAAATCTTCTATGAGGTCCCAGCCGGGGGGGGGGGGGGGGGGGGGCAGTGTGCTTCCGCGAGTCCCGGGGAACATCCTGAGCACAAGCACACACTAAAACCAAACCTGGTTCAGACTGCATGGGAACAATCTACATGTATGTGCTTGACCTCTCACAACATTTAAAAGATGGTGATGCTGAGGAACTAACATTTTGATAATTTTTGATAGTGATCCTGGTCAAAGATGTTACAATGTCATGTATTGTAGTCAAGTTGTGCCCCAGGAACTCCACAGGAAAGGACAACATCATTGCTCCAGCTTCACTCGGGCTAGGTAATGCAGTAATGAGCATGATGACCAGAGACAGTGGCATCATTCTATCTGACCCACATCCACATGTCCACTGCACATTCACTGAGCGGTGAGTGCACAAGATCAAGAGACAAGAATGCTCAGATACTCTGAGAGGTTTGCTGCATCAGCACTCCGGTCAAACTCATGCCCGGGTGGTGAGTAGTAGCGTCCCCAAGTCCACGTGACCGCGATGTTGTTGACTTCAGACGTTTTTCGACAGGCCATCATGTGCAAAGAGCTGGTGGCATGACGCAGCTGCAACGGAAAACTCTCTAACCTGCCAATCGCCTGTCATTATGCCAGTGGACAGGCTGCAACGCTTTGCAGAACTCCCGACTGCCCGTCAAGCAAGCTTCGCTGTGGAGCCAGACTCGTAGCGATTAATCCGGCGAGTCGACTCTCCTTCCAACGTTCTGGCTACAACTGTCTGTATTGCATGCGATTCGTTGTTAGCTGGTCAAACTTTTTCTCTCCAGGAAACACCCAGGTTTTGGTACGGACGGGGAAGAGCAAAGGACCGAGTCGTCAGAATGAAAGGTGAGTGAGAAGACATCGTTCATTGATATCTACATAGGATGGGTACTGGAAGGGAGTGGTACCATTGGGGACATTCGGCAACCTGGTCTAAACGGTTCATGAAACACACCATGGCCAGCCAGTATGGGTCTACTTCTAGTTACAGCTTATCAGTTTTATGATGAATCTCTAGCACCGAAGAAGGTGTTTCTCTCACCCAACCCACAATGCATAATGGGGAGACAGCTCATGCCACGAGTACATGGCTGGAGGGTTGAGGTTGGCGGCAAAGTCATCTCTAGCACTCAGGGCAGTGTGTAGAGTGTGCAGTGCTCAACACATCCCAGTTATCACCAAGCTACAACTAGAGCGGAGTTGCGCTCCGGAGATATGCACTGTTCTATCTGTATTAGGCATCACGGGGCACCTGCATGCAGGATGAACGGGCGTAATACAGGAACACAGTAGTAACTAAGGAGAGAGTCATTCTCATCCCAAATTGTATTGCAACACATTGTAAATCTCCACAGTGCCTAATCCTGGACATGAGGGGGGGGGGGGGCATGATCAGGAAATTATGTTGCTGATGATGGCTACACAATGATGTCACGTTGTGAACACTACAATGCAGCAGCATTTTGCCCCGCGACTAGTTTTCACCAACATTCTCTTCTGGTGATGGATACGCTACAAAAAGTATCTATGCCATGCGACTGTGACTAGGCAGCACTATCAGAATAATCACAAGCAGTATTACTCACTGGCTGTGACTGAAACTCACTCGGCAGTACTCTGAAATAAGTGGGTGATGGGAAACGTTGCACCTACATTGAATACAGGTTCATTGGTCAACATAATTATACTATCTCCCCGTGCAAAAGGCTTCCTTGACGGTACCCAGTGCAGCCAAAGTTAACAAGTTCATTCCGTTACTCTCCCATTTCCTCTGCAGAGTTTGCCTCACTCACACTGCTGCTATTGGCGGCAGTGGCATGCAGTGCCAGGATTCATCATCACGAGTTTCGCAACAAAACCAGCCATGCAGCGGTACCCGACATGCAGATGACTGACTGGGTACTGGCTGCACATGGTAGTACACGAATGAGAGCTAATGGCAAGGGAAAAGACTGGGACACAAAGTTTCACCAGGCAAACTTCCACTACCCTACGTTCTCTGTTCCTTTCAACGAGGGTCCTGTTTTACCTGCCGGAGTCAACCACAGAACATCGGACAACCATATCCATGTTCCAATCCTCGGGGCAACCTCATACCCAGGAAGTACGGAGTGGCCAGCTGGCGGAGCTAATCGCAAGTGGACTCCACCAATGATTTGGGAGATTGACGGCAACACGGGAAAGACTGTTCGTATCTATGATCTCAGCGAGTACTCAGCCTGCTTCAACTCTGTCGTTCGTTACACCAACGATGGCTACCCGTTCATTGCACTGTATGCGGGTAAAACAGGAAAGGGATCTACACCAATCGCAGTCCTGGATGCTGAGTCTGACAAAGTGCTGGATGTGTACTCTGACGATAGCACTGAACCTATGCTGCTGCAGATTACAAACACCGAGCCACAGCAGATCATCTGGGCTGCACTGGACGCCAATGCCGGTGTTAGTCTGACCGGACATGAAGTTGATGCCAGCAGTTACGTCAGAACAACAGACACGTCGACGATCATCTTCGGTGCTGACGGTCAGACGATTTATAACAACGGCTTCTTCAATCACGACACCGGCATCTTCAAGTTTGCCCTGCCTCTCACATCTCATCTGAAGCAGGACTATTTCGTGTCCGGTTGCAACACAAGACCATGGGTGATGGCATCGGATACGAAGGGAAACGCATTTGCATTGTGCGGAAACCTGAACGCTTACGATGCCAACGGCAAACAGAGATGGTCTGTGTCGGATTCCGGCAACCCATCATTTCTGGTTCTGAGCGACGCCGAGGATGTATTGTTTGCCGGTAATGGCCAGTACATCAAGGGTCTGAGCCCAGAGTCTGGCGAAGTGCTGTGGAGCATCGCTGCTAGTGAGTTTGGTGGCAGCATCCCTGTGTCCGCTCAGCCGTGGGCACCACGTTATCCCATACCACTACCCACTGGCAACCTCGCTGTTCTTGTCGTCAATGGCGGAGTACACTCCATTGCTCTGCTCGATTCTCACACCGGTAAGATCGTCAAGGGTGGTGTGACCTTTGACTTTGCACCACAGATGCTGACCGCCGACAACTCCAACAACGTGTACGCTTTCGGCAACGAAGACGGTTACCTGAAGGTGCAGCGCAAGTCACTGGGTGAATCCTAAGCCAACACCCTGCTGCCCAACATGCATGATGAGCCAATGGCGTAGATCGAGGAGAGAGCCTTGCTCAGAATGACTTTCGACGACTTACAACTTTCTAGACTAGGATCTTAGATATCCACTTGATTCTTTCCAAGTTTATATTTCAAATTGCTTTCACTCACTGTTGTCAAAATAATAATTACAAAAAGTATGATTACACCATAAGATATGATTGTATTATGGTGCGATTATTTTAAAAGCAACATGATTGTG